TGTAGAGAGTTGCTCTTTTACTGGAAGCATACCCTCATATGTGATAATCAATGAGATGTAAGCTGAATATTTGCTGCAACGTAGGCGGCAGCATTACTCATTGTGACTACGACAAAGGTGTGCGTGCGAAATACTTTCTTTCAGTGCAGTCAAATTACATACTGTGTTGTTATTTAGTCCTTCTGCAGGAATCGGTTTCATGAGCGAAGTTGTATCTCAGCTGCTAATATGTTTTGGGCAGGAGGAAATGATGTACGAACGCCACCACTATTCCTAAGGTAGAAGCCATTTTCTACGTACGCAATTCACTAAGCTCCTGGTTTGCCATCACTCCATTTCGCTGGTCACCAACTTTCTAGTTGTTAAGTAATAATAACCGTAATAAATTTTATACACTTTAAACTGCATGAAAATAAACCGGGTTTAAGGTTTGATCATTTTGGTACTGTGGCGGCAGGCGCCCGTGAATTTCACTGACAGCCTCTAGACAAAGTAGGGTCCTGAAAGTTGTCTACGAGTCACTGTAGCTGTCCACCAAGGCTAACTTCCCGTAAAACGTTTTCCCCTTCGCACAGTTTACGTTTTTATTCAATAACATTTAGGTTTACATTCAAAGTCCGCCGGAACATAGGGCCGTAGTAAGCACAGTTCCGGTATTGATATCTGTGAACGACTCAGTACCAGAAAATCTTGCAGTTATCCCCGCCATCCCCAGTGAACAATGAGCTCGTATTCATATCGCGGTTTGTCAAACTCACTTTTCCGCAATCTGGAGTTTCAAACTTCTCCACTACTATGGTCGTTTGATGTACCAGTCGGTCTTCATTGGCCAGTGAGAGGCTGGAACCAGATCAGCAGAAGAATTTCGCTGACATCTCTTTACAGACCGATTCATGAACATTTGGCGAGCCTTCAACTTTATGAACTGCTGGTTTTGTATAGTAAGGCATTCGAGTATTTCCTCTACTTTCTGTATCAGCCATGGGACCTACTAGGTATTCTGCACTCTGAAACCTGAGACCTACAGTTTGGGCTTAGTGAAGCCAAAAATCCTGACATTGTCTCAGGATTCGTGGCATAATCTTGCATGAAGGTTTTCCTCCCAAAAATACCAGATTTAACTTCATTGCTTTAGGTATGGTGAAAAAGTCCCATGTTATGCTGTCTAAAACTTTCTGCTTTTGTATTCTCATGAAGACTGGTGTAACTCCATAGCACCGAAGAGATAATAATTACCTTGCTAGCTTGCCGAGAAGATGTTCAAAACGGTTGATACTATGAGATAGTACGAAGAAGAAAACAAGAATTTTTCGGCGGTAGATATAGTATTGGCAATAGTGCAATTAATCGCCGCCCCATATGTGAACCAGTATCAGTAAACTGAAGGGGAATTAAACAAAACTAGAAATGCAGGAGGCAATCTTTTAAAGAAGACTACGGGAGATGGCACGGAAAGGTCAAATACAGTGAAGCAGGCGCCACATAACTTCTCGCTTCATTTTAAGGAGACTTCCCAAAGCTGTTTCCGAAGGCTCATCATACCATTCTCTTCTCATTTATGAATTAGTGTAGGTTGAACGTGCACATTTTCGATGCTCTATGAGGTCTCCACCTTTAAAGGTCAACGTTATAGTTTTCCAGCCGCGTGGTATAAAAGGGTGCTCACTTCATTAATGATCACTGCTACCGACCAGTAATTGTGTAACGCTCTAAAAATGACCTGGTGACCGCATAAGGAGCCGATTTGGATGGAAGGCTTTTGAACGTCCCCTCCATCAGTGGTATCGATGTTCCTCAATTTCTAACGTCCAAGTTCTTCTGCATATATCAGGCAGTCCTGTATATTACTGCGCAAACCGATGGGAATCACCCTCATAACAACTGATCAGGGGTTAAGTGGTGTAAACCTGAGTATAATGCTAAAAGACTATGCAATTCATTTATCTATTTGATGGTCTAGTGGTGATCTGGTCATAGGGGTCATGTGTTTTCCGTTTGCATTATACCGGTACTCTAGTCCCTGTCCTTTAAAGGCAGGACAGCTGATTTTTAATTGACTGTTAGGTTGTGCAAGACACACAATTATAAACCATCTTAAACGGACCCGAAAGGAGCCAGTAATAAAATTATAATGCTCATAGTGTTTGGCACAATCACGCCACTTCAGTAAACGCGTAGAAGTGATTAAATCAAGGTTTGTGCCCATAAACCTACAAGAAATACTCTGCGATCTGTAGGGACACACATATCAGTCTGGATAGATTAATACTATGCTGAGGAGTCCGCAAATCATACTTCCGGGTCTGTCTTCATAAAATATTGAGAAAGAATGGACGGTACCTTTACCAGTTAATTAAAAGTGGTGAGCATCGTACTACTCAGCCCTCAGGACCAAAGTAAGTTCTTGATCCAAGGTATTTTCACTACAGGAGACGGTTAGCCCAAAAATGTCAACCCAGCTTCCATCAGCCTAGCCCAATGCTCTACGAGCACTCTAAAGAGCGGTTATCACCAGACTTACAGTCTTTCTCGTTCACAGCTCTGCAGCAACATACCTGCGGTGCAAGCAGAAACCTGAGGCTGATCGTCTCGAAATCAAAATAAACCTGGAAAAATCAAAGGGTTAAGTCGCGTAGATCTTGAATCCTTCAAAGGCAAGAGAGTTTTAAGATACCTCAATTCTAATAGGCCAATGGACTCATTGACATTCATTCTTCCGTTATCGGCGAGTTTGCTGACTCTTCCTTCGTTTCTTCAGGAGCATTCTCAACCTCAAAAAGTAGCTTGCTGCCCAACTACAAGTAAAATGAGGTCACCTCGGTGCTTAAATCGAGGTAATAAGCTGAATGCTGAAAATCGGTTGGATGGTTCTGCCTCACTCATGCATTCAAGATATCATCGGAGATTTTCACTGTTATATCCCTAACAAACTACTGCATCTTTTCTGTGTACACCTTGGCGACTTTCCTCATGACCTCGGCAATAAATGCGCCAGCATAATCTTATGATTGTAGCGGAGTTTAACTTAACAAGTGATGCCAATGTGTTCTACACACAGAGAGAGAGAGAGAGAGAGAATGGAATCAAAAATGGACAGTCTTGAACTGGTTCCTTCTGTACACTTGAAAGCGTAGATAAATAGCAGTGAATGTGGTTGGTCAGCATTCTGAATCCAATTCGCTGGTCAATATACCATCTGTCATTCAGGCAGGTGAGAATTTTAAAATATTTCAACAATTGACAAACTTGCTGCGTCCACTGATGACGGACTTTGTAAACCGGATATTAGGAATTTGGAGGCCTATGCAGTCAAAGTTTAGTCCACCAGACCCACTCTCATCTAACCTACATAGCTGAGCGTGTACCAGCTTTTCGGAAGATTTCACTCATTGATTGAAAAAATACATTTAACCGCTGGGAAATATGCGGTGAGGTTAGCTTGGAAACGTGAACTGACAACGATAAAAGACGTACGTGGATACACTGGGTGTCCATAATCCGCAAACTGTATAACACATTAGAGTGGAGGGAAACTTGTCAGAGTGTATCCTGACACCTATAGTCTTTTCGTACGTTTTGATCGCTTTAAATTTCTACACAGAGAGATTGCTTAGGAAGTCGTAGATGATGAGTAGGGCATGGAAAAGCGAGAGTGAAGATGTATGCCTAATATTCTATGGTTTTAGCCTGAAAAGTGCAAAATATCTCACTTGGAAAAACTTGCGTTCACTTGTTTGCCCCATGGCATTTGGAAACCGACTGTACGTTCACACAAAAACATACGGTGCAGAAATTCTGTAATCTATGGGTTTCTTGCCTCTTATAGGCCAAATGTTAGGTTGATGTCAGAAGACGATGATCACTAACTGATACCTATAAATGCAGTTTGAAACATGGTTGCCAGCCTAAATCATGCAACGCTAAGAAGGCTATAGTCTGAAGTTAGATGCTGAGAGACATTTTACGGAAACCCTGGACATGTTAGCCTAGGAAATGTAAACGGACAGCAGGACATAAAAAAGTAAGGAGAGCACTGGGTAAAGAAATGGTGGAAAAGGATAGTGGCCTTATTAAATTCTTGTAAACAACTGGCCTTCCGTTGCTTTTCTGACAGATGAATGGATTGTCAAAAAATCTCCATGGTTCTCCACGCCGACGATGTAAAATTTAATGAGAAATCGGGTTGACGGAGGTGTGCGTAAACAGTTTGGTGACCTGCTCACAGAACTGACTGAAGCCCGTCAATGGGAGTAAGTGTGCTAGTTTGCACAAGAGCATACTGATAGCGATAAAGACTATATTGGTGGGATTCATCTACTCTTAATATTCGCTTACAATGACTTGGGAGTTGCGGTAAACCAAAACTTGAAAACCATAGGGCACTTTCAACCGATCATCAGTCAGAGGTTTAAGGACGCTGCTGCCATTATGCAGAACCCTCACCCAAATAAGCAATAATATATCATCCACTTCGTGCACATCCTTAGCTAGATGGAAATTGGTGAACCGTGCACAAGAGGTAAGTCCTTTTCTTTGATAGATGGCTCAAACTTTTTGAAGGAGCTCAAGAGGCATTCACCTGCGTGTTCCTTACCACGACTTGCACGACTTATGAAGGACAACGCTAGTAAAGAAAATTGTTGTCCATGTCCCATCGTGGACATAGGGGTGGTCTAACAATAGTACTCAGGATTTTAAAGGTGACCTTGAACGCGACACGTCTCTATTTTTCATTCCCATCGGATTAAAACACCTCAAAGAGCAATGTAAGGGGTTGAAAAAACAGAGTAAGGACATCGTTCACTCAGAGCCTCGGATTTCACGTCAACGAAACAACTCAAGGGCCGACTAATGGAAGAAGCGGTATCTGTTTCATCTGTTGGTTCATTCAGATGAAGACTCAATAAGCACACAAATCTACTGGGAAAGATTAATGAAGCCTCAATGGCTTTTATATCATTAAACTACAAATATATTTTTGTGTTTAAATGAGTCATTTCAAAGTTGTTTTTATGACTACGGAATGTAACGTTTTGAAAGTAAAATAGAATGAGCCAGCAACCAAATGCAAACGATGTAAAGAAATTCGTTCTAATTGTTAGTTTCAGAATGACATCACGAAAGTAGTAATAAAACCGGCTGTCGATGATGTGACTTTTGAAGCATTAAAAAATGACTTTGATGAAGTAGATAAGTACATGATGGAAGTAACTGTTCATTTAGGTACTTAAAGAGATTGAAGGAAACAGAGGCCTGGAGAGATATAAGGAGGAATATGAGAAGTTAATGAACGCCTTCTTCAGGTCTCATGACAATGAAAAGCGCCTTATGAGAAAATGCCGAGAGCTGAAAGCAGAAATAGTTTCAAACTCTGCTAAAGTATCACAGGCAGTAAAGATCTCTAGTGAAGATCAAGGCAATATGACTTACTTAAAGCGCGAAATCGAACAAGCCTGGAAAATGGTTGATGCCGCAGCTGATAGAGAAACTAAGGCTCATGAAACTATTAAACGACTCAAAGAAGAGATAGCATCTTTAAGCAAACAACTGGAACATGGAGGAGTTGGTGTTATTGGACCAGAAAGGTAGACATGTTTTTATTCATATGCAAAATGGGTTAAGAATGAAGACCTTTAAATAAACTCACAGACTGTCATTCTCTTCCGAAAATGAACCTTATGCTAAAGCTTGCCATGCCTATTAAGCAATATTGTTTCACTAGGGTATAATTACTCTTATTTGTAGCGATTATTTATCGATAAAGTGTTGGGTATTTTATTAGAAAAATACGTAAATATTTAAATTTTATTCAAACGCTTCCCTGGGAATGACAAGCTTATTTTCACAAATTTGTAATGAATAATAATGGTTATGCAATCTACTGTTTGCTATTACATGTCCACCTTCCTTCCTAAAACTAGTAATATTGATAGAACATCCAGGTTTTTTCGGAATAAACCAGATGATTTAAGTTTCAGGACCGATGACTCCATTCATACCCATCAGACGTTTGGTTACGATAGTAATAGGAACTTTTGGGTACTCTACACTCATTTTCACCAACTAGTGCACGGTTACATTGACAGGTGGGTAAACATCTGGGCATGTACCTAGTTAAATCTTTACTCACTTTTCCAGTGTTTTTCTGCTATGCTGCAGTTTGATTTTCACTACCTGCTCCGTTCATGAATTTCGAATTGGAAACTATTTTACCACTAGTTAACATCATAGATCAATTAACTCCACTTATCTGTTTTTTACTTTTTATATACATATATATATAAATATATACATGTATATATATATATATATATATAAATTTGGTATGCTTGAATCCTATAAACAGCAATTTGATGCCAGCCGTATCCAGGATCTATTCCATGGAATATTCGTTTTTTTTTGTAGTTAAAATAACCACAGAGTATATAAATTAGGATGAGTAGCTAGGCACTTTCAAAAGAAAGGCAGTTACACTTATGAAATAAAGCTATTATCATTATTATTGTTATTATTATTATTATCAGCGTGATGGTACATTTTCTGACCTATAATCAATTTTTCATCTTGGAGAAAAATATTGGTATCAGTTTTTCTAACTAAACTTTCTGTTTCCAAATGTTAGTACTTCCTTTGCTTCAAAAGAATTTTGCTCAAATAAAATCCTTACAAGTGATTTAGCACTATGCTTATGCTCCCGAAGATAGAATGGAAAAATATGCTTTTTATGGAACAAAGCATCTTGGGAATTCAAGGTGAAGGCACTTAGACAACTCAATGTACTTCCTACTACTTGTAACGATAACACTTTCGAACTCAGAAGGCTACAGAATCAAATGCTTTAGTTAGACCCCGTTTGATATCATATACTATGTGCGCTAAGGATGTAAACATAAGCAGAATGTGCGTAAAATCGATCCTCTTTATTTCCAGAAGTTGAGAAGTATCAATGTCAAGCTTAAAACAGGATTTTTGGTTTACAAATGATTTACAAATCTAATGGTCTACGCTGATATTTTTGACGGTTGAGTAGTTTTTCGACTTTCCAGCTGAGATGTCAACAGAGCATTTGTTGGGAATTACCTAGCCGACGTCATGAGGAGCGGTTTATGAAAGAAAAAGTCATAGACCAACTGATTATACTTCTGAATAACTGTAGTAGTTCGAAACCACTCAAGCTGATTTGTAGATTTCACCAGCTAGTGATCTAAACACCAGACGATTGTTTCTGAATCATTTTTAAACTGGACGCCTTATTTTAGTTAGCTAGCCGAGTCCAAGTGGTCTGAATTAACTCGGTTATACGAGCAGAATTTATTTGGGTACACCGCTGTTGAGTTCGGACTAAACAAGCGAAACAGCCGTTCGGAGTTTAAACTTGAGAAATCTTTGGATTAGCGCCACTGGTTTCTAATTACATAAGTTGTTTAGTAGCATGTTTCGCCAGTTGGAAGCTTACTTCCTGATTCGTCTTCTTCGTCTGTTGTGAAAAAGCATAAAAACATTTGTCTGAGTTTCCAATGCAGAGTATTTTTTATTGGCTGCAAAACCCTGGGATTTACCTTATGCATTTTAGTGACTGAAAGTTTTCTGGAGTGTTTCTTTGATGTTAGGTTTGGTATGATTAGTATAACAGATAGATAAACAGACGAATAAAACAAAATTCCACATAATTTTACGCTCAACAACAACATGAAAAGAATATTTACGGAAACCATGAGAAAAAGTGAAAAATACTACCAAAAATATTATTGACCAGTACGGGATTTCCGGCCAGCAAAGTTAGGGAAAAGTTGAACGCGATTCTTATCTTCGTCCACGGGATCGGTTTGAGTCATAACATCTAAGGCAAACTAACGTAGACTTTCAACATCTCCCTGTTAGGGATCAGCAAAATTGCAGCTAACTCGATCATACCAGTGGGTGTGGTTTCCTAAACTAAGATAAGGATTTTGCCTGATCATTTTAAGCCTTCTTGAAACCCAGCCACTATAAAGCCAGACTTAAGCTCAAGATATCCAGCGGCGTGCTATGTGGACAACATTGACTCAACTAATACAGTGGAAAAATATGTCCATTCTTTTGAAGTATCTTACCACCCTCGCCTTGTAAATTATGGTTCATATCAAAGTTTCTTCAATAATAACAATACATGGAAGCATTGTTTCAGCAACACCTGCTAAGTAATGCCTGAAATCTTTTAAAGTCTTCCAGAAAAGGTAATCGAAGTTCACGTACACTCAGTAGAAAAGGGTGAAAACTTAGGAAAGCAACCGGATGTTCTGTCATCTCTACGTATTATATAGGTTGACGAGTGGCATGCTGATCTTATGCCATTCTTCAAAGATTTCGTAATCAGTTACTCTGTCAGTGTTGATATCACTTCAAAATAAATGAGCTGGCTAATAAAATCAGTCTCTTGACTTCCTTCAACCAGAGGGACAGACAAATGAGAACGACGTAAGGCCTCACGCACAAGCTCATCAATCCAAGTTATCACACTTTACAGTAGTATACAGAGAAAAAATGGGTAGAAGAAGACTCACATCGCAGTAGAAGTCGTGTGACATTAAAAAATTTGGAGATAAAGGTTAGTGCGAATAGTCAAGCTATAAAAGACGTTAAGGAGTGAATACAGATGAGCGCCTGTGACTGATTTGTAACCATTTCACCAGAAGTCCTCAAACACTGATTCGTATGGTTTCGAAGACCCTAGCCAGGCCGTTAACATCTTCCCACACGGCTCAGACAAATAGAAAGAAACTTCATCAACTAGCGCCATGTCTTTTTCTGGCCATTCTAAACCTTTTTCCAGCCTAATCCAGCTCTCTATTTCATGCCATGTTGAGGGAGACAGTGGCTCGGCATGTTCAAGTCATCTCAGTCGGTGAAGGTTCACAACTTTATCAACTGGCTTGTCTATCACCCTTCGCCTGACCTCAGTATCGCTCACACAGTGAATATACCGAACTCGAGCAATGTTACAAAGATATCTGTGACCACAACCTTGTAATCACTTCGTTTCTTCTACTTGTAACGGTTACATCTCAGCTGTTTAGAAAGGCAGAATGGAATGTAGCGCAATATTTTGGTTAGTCATCTTCTAGCTGACATGTGAGAACTAATTCTGGGGCTCTTTCAGGCTTTTCTTCGAAGACAGCTTCTTTATCAAGCTGTACCGTTATTGACATATTTCGCTCTGACCAGCAGATTTGAAGGAGTTGAAAGTAAATATTTTCCCTCCAATCTTTATTCTTATGAAAAAATGGAAAGGACTGTTTTCAGTATGGATATCATTTTTCATCACCATGTGGTTACTGTCCACATGACTTTCGAAGTTCAGTTAAACCTTTGGCAACATAAAAAGTGAGGTACTGAGTCGTTCTATCTACTAGTGAATAAAGTTCCGGTTGGAGATCAATGCAAATAGTTACTATGAGGGTTCAGTCGCGTGTGGCTGCACTTGCAAAAATAATAGGACGAAATCTCATTTTATTTGCTCGGCTGTGGAGTCTTTTTAGACCCTAGGAATTTGGGAGTTGTTTATAAGTCTGGTATACGTGTGGTTGACAAAATCAGTAAATAATCCGTAGGAACAAATTTCTGATTTTTACTTTTCAGTTGGTGTTTAATTTAATCTCAGTAAAATTCCCTGACCACTGTCTACAAATCTCATTGGATCTGTCAAACACTATAGTCATTTTACCGAATGTCATTACCTGTGTACCAACTTTGAGCCAAATTTAACTCAGAGCTATTTCAGGATAATAGCCGTTGTTACGTCATTATTAATCTTAAGTTTGAGTTGCTTCTGGTGTACAAACTTTGTACTTCCACCTTCAAAGCACATGTAAGTGAACGTTTTGGCCGAAAATGTAGATCGTCCTATTAGATCCAAACATACATGTAATTTTAGTACACTATCAGATTCAAAGTAGTTGCTGTAAAACACGAAACAGTAATGCACTTTTTCTTTCTACTGACTTTCAGTCTCTGTAGAATTTATCATGATTTCTTTTTCCAACCATTTTTCGATCAAATGTGATTTCGTTTTTGTGTTTAAGTATTTAGGTAATACGAGAATAAGTTCATGTTGGGCCAAAAACTTACAAAATCCAAAGTTCTTTCAGGTTATTAATTAATGTTTCAAGATTCTGGATGACATAAAAAATAACCAACTGGAAATAAACGAAATTACTAATCGTTTACTAAAGATAGATTAGATCTTTTATCATTCTTTATTTATTCACTGTCTGTCATATTATACTCATGCCTACTTATTTTAGTACCTTTCATAATATGTTGCTGTTTGGAAGCAAGGTGAATTGAACTGCATGTTTCTGTGAGATTTCACGTCGGTTTGTTTCCCTCCATTTATTAAGAATTTATTACTACATTTTTTATTATAAGTTATGAAATCTTTTGAAAACATGCACCTGAAAAATTACTTTCTCTTTCAAATGGGCTGCTTATGAAATCCATGTTCTGAAGTTTCGCTCGTTTATTTGATCTGAGGTGGATTCTTGTAGTTCTTCCTTGCTTCTGGTTATGGAGTTTCCACTTTCATTATGATCTGGTTGATGTGTGACTTTTTAAAACCCACTGGTAACCATTTGCAAAGAAACCTTAAGATATTCTCATGGCTTACGACATCTAATCAACAATCACCTTTACGGCAGTTTAAAATATAACGTTATTCATTATCTTACACTCATTAATATTCGAAAGTCCTACTTTAGTCACGATGATTTGATTTACTAAGTTTATCTAGGGCTACTTTAACAGCCTCATATTTCAGTAATTAGTTTTTTTTAATTGAAAATACGTCTAGATGTCCCTTGTAGTATACAACTCAAAATGCATAAGAGTTTGTAGTTTGTTTCTAAAATAGAAACTTATGTTTATTACCTTGGTTACTGGTTATCATATTTTATGTTTGTACTCATGAATCTATTGGTAGTACTGTATGTTGATATGAAATCTGGTCACAAACTTCATTATCCGCCCAATTTTTGGTATAGTTCTCTGCTACCTTTAAAAACCTTTAATGTTATAACGCACTGACGAGCAGCCATGAATCCAGCATTAAGAATTTATTGTTTATCTTTTAATCTTCTTATTATCTTTGTTTGATTATTTTCTATCTCATACGTAGTTATACGCCATATTATTTCAGCCGCACTCTTTGTACTTAAACGACTGTCTTATTTCACCATTGTTTCTTCTTGTTTGTTCCCGACAATTAAATATACTTCATACAATCAGTTTATTAGCATTAAAGTCTTTTGATATGGGTTCAGATGGATCTTTATCAGGTACTTGACAATAATATGGAGTTACTTGGACTAAATTATGATTTCACATAGCAGTCCAACCATCTAATCAAATATACAGTCAAACTACAAGTCATTACAGCCTTCTCCCACTCAAAATGAAGGTAAGGAATTTTGCAGCCAAAGGAAATCACTTGCAGAAACTATGCATTGAGTGGTAAAAGTTGAGAAAGATTTCTGCTTGGAAGTGGATAATTTAAGCAAATTCACCTTTACTTTTGAAAACCCAAGTGTTTTGTTACGAGAAGACTCTAAAAAGTGCAGGGTTTTCAATATATTAGAAATCAGTAGAAGAAGACTATGAGTGATGTGGCTTTGAATCTGTCATTATTGACTTATGGATTCAGTTTTTGCTTCTCTTGGAGTTTCCTTCACTTCTCTATTATTGATAGCATTGCTAGAAGATAAATTCATAGACAGCAGAAATAGTTTGTAAGTTTTTATTAACTGTAACTTAAGTGAGTGCAAACGTGCCACTGTGGTAATCTTCCATAACAGACTTCGATCCTAGTTATTCAATGGTAACAGACTGTACCACAGTAAAATTCTCAGGTATCAATTTAGATCAAATACAAAAGTGTAGGTCATGAAATGTCTTCATCTGACGACTATTTTGCTGGCAAAAGTCATTTATGCAGATGTCACCCATGACTTCAGTGGCTCAACAGGAACACCTCTTCACACAACTGAAAGATATTTTTTAAACTTCAAAGGTAGTACAGATTTTCTCTAAACTTGGTGAACTTGACTGTTATTGCTTGTATGAGTCCTGGTGGGAACAATATCACTCACTGGGAGGCAGGTACATCCAGCTGACGAGTCCCAAATAGGACGAAATGCGAATCCTGGATTCCACTGCTAGCCACTGTCCATTATTACTATACTTGATGAAGTTTGTTAAAAAGTGGATGAAAGCTTGAAACCTAAGAAAAAGCTTTCTTCAAACCATCTTGAAACTAATAGTAGCAGAAATTGGGTTCAAAGATTTTTCAATGAAATGTACTAAGAATAACAAAAAGCATACTAGTGATACATTGACACATTTTATTTCATGAATTTGCTTGGTCCATATAATATTTTAAAACTTTCACAATAATATGCATTTAATCTTATTCAGTTTAGCTGAACTGCAAAGACAAAAGGAGAAATTGATCAAAGAAAGAGATGAACACTACTTAGACAACCAGAAGTTAAAAGAACAAATTGAAGAGACTAGAAATCATATTGTGGTTTATCAAAATGAATTACTTGACGCACAGAATAAAATATCAGAATTGACAGTAGATATTCAAGTTAGTTGTCCATATCAGTTTGAATACGTATATATGAGTCCATTTTCATTTTGAGAATATGGTTTTACAAAGTTAAACTACATTAAACATCGGCGAAGATAAAGGTACGCTAAGTTCTTGCTTCGTTTACACCATGAATTTCTTAATAGCATCAAAATGTGGCTTACCTTTAACTCCAAGTTAGAATTAATGGTATCTTGAAAGGAGTTGTGTATTTGCACCATTGGTTTAGAACCTAAAAAGCCAGCGACTACAACTCACCAACATAACATTACTGTGTGGTATTGCAAGGTTTAGCATCTTTTCACATTCAGAATTAGTAAATCTCATAAATTGCAGCTTTTCACTAATGCTTTGAAAATTGTCTTGCTGAAGTGAGTAATTAACGGAAACTATGCTTTAAATTGAAATTAGTGGTTTGTCAGCTTCAGCTGTCTTAGAAATATTTACGACGATGACGTCACACTATCCAGGAAAAGCAAGAAGTTAACAGGCACCGACAAGTTGTAATTTTGGTAGCCGTTCCTTAAGTTTATATTTATTTGCTTTGCAAAACTTTAGCAGTATTTTGTAGGAATGATAAATTTTTAGTTAGATAAGATCACAATCGCATGGGTTTAATATGTTATCTCTGGCTATCAAAACTATGTGGAAAACACTTGCAACTAACTTACGAGACATTTCGTCTTTGTAAATGTTGGAAAGTGAAGATAACACGTAGAGGCTTTTGCCAGTTTCTATCCTTTGAAATCTACTACTCATAAGTAGCTGTATTCGACTTAAAAAAGTCTTAGTTGGTCAAAATCAGTGAGGTAAACTGTGGCATTCATATACGCTTTGAAATATCATAATAAATTCTAGTCGAAGTAAAAACAGCAGATAGATTATTCATTGAAATTTTATTTCAATTCTATTCAAGATGTAAGATAACTGATTAGTTTTTGTAAATTTTCCGAAATTGAATGAATTGTTGATCATTGTTTTTGTTGCGAATGTTCATCAAGCGTTCTTTCTTTAAAAAAGTGAGATGCTTACAACATTTCGAAAGCTCATGGAAGATTATGATCTCGCGAAACTTCTAATAATAAGTGCTTATGAAAAGCTGACAGATGTATACCTACCGTTTGCTGAAAAATCAAAAAGAAGATAAGTAACGAATGTTTTTCCTAGCTTCTGCCGCATTATATGGTTAAGGTGGTTTGACTGTGAAGCTTTCAAAATCTTTCTAGACAACATTGTCAGCAAAAACTTTAGTATGAAGTGAGCTATCGGGAATCATCTGTGAATGACGAAGTAGTTGGTGAATGGTATTTTCTTTTGATCGTTGTATCACTGACTTCATAGGTTTTCCCGATGGTCGCTCCACTACCTGGCCTCTGGCCTTGTAGTTGTTTGTTCTTTTTCTATCGGTTGACGGAATGGGTCAACGTCTGTACACCTATTGATTGCTGGTTAAGGTGAATGGTAAACTTCTGAGGTTTTTCGGATATTCCTTTTGTTTTCTTGCTATAAGATTTCTGGAATTAGAAAATCAAACTCATGTCCATATTTTTCCATATGCGTGGAAATAAGAGGCGAAATGTTATGACGTTTAACCGTCAACTAGTGCTTCTACAGGCGAAAATGAACAGGGTGTGAAATGTTTCGGAGCAATAAGAATTTCATTTACATGGAAAGTCGGATCGGACGCTATGAATAAGTGATCAGTAAAATATCAGTGTGGAAACTAAAAGTTTAACTAACCTTGCTGATTGAAGCTGCCTTTAGCGCTAACGAAATATATAATGATCAAGTGAGGGTCAAATGTACTAACCACCAGTTGGGTGTGTTTTAAAATGGAGCTCTTTAGCCTGGTCACTTAAAGTAGAGGATTTGAGAAGGCTTCGGGTCTTCGAATGCCCCTGCCTTCGTGGCACAGGCCAAGTGTCGTGCAGTCAACACGTTAGTAAACTACATATCAGGCTCAGAGATTTAGAGGAAAGAGGTAAATCAGATGACGGGGTTGTAAACCTCCATCAACTCCGGCAACTGAGACATGTGTTATGCATGCATAGTCATCATTGACCACAATATGCGATTTTAGGCAAAGTAGGTATCAGCTAGAAAAAGGCTAAAGGTGCTTAGACTAAAATTTGACAGCAGTAAATGAAGTCTTTGGTTGTTGGTATGGGCCGTGCTAGAGAAATGTAAACATCCTGGTCAGGGTTTGGAATTGATTTTATGGCTCAGAATTGATCTAAGCGGCCCAGATGCATCCACATATTGTCTTCATCCTGATATTAGCATCGTATTCAATTTCGTTCTACTCCTTATTCGTATCTTCTTGCATCTTCTGAAGACTTCTATTTACATCCAGCCCCCTTATTTTCCTACCATTCACGTTACTACTGTATGTCTTCATGTACTGTTGCATGGAGCAGCAATTTGCACCATAATGTAGAATGCCCGGGTCTTATGTTGTCGACCAACAGATTTGCTTCTTTCATCTGATGCCAGTTTGTTGTGAGAACTGACTGCACAAATAAAACAACTTAGATCCCATAAAAAACTTAAGGCTTCAGTTATAACAAACAGCTTATTTATCAAATCTATTTAAGCAAGGCCAATTTGTTGTTTATAAACTGGACTCACGATGATTAATAGGTTTTTTTATCTTAATAATAAGTGAGATCCTCACTCATGTTAAACAATGAACACAAACAAATCTAATTCTGTTTAGGTTATAAGATTAGTGAATGCATGAAACTCTTTAAAGCATAATTTTTGCTTAGAAAGAGATGTATACACAAAAACATAATTCATATATAAGTTGTTTACCTTAGATTAACAAAGTGCTTGATAAAATAGAAACATAAACAAAAATGGGACTCTTCCAAAAAAACAAAAATAAGAATGTGGGTAGACAGAGAAATCCAAATATAATTTTCATAAGAATGAATGAAACAGTTTGGAAAGACACTAGACTCATTTAGTATGAATATTTAGTACACTATGAAGCAAAGTTAAATAAAATATTAAGAAACTACAGTGTTTGCCTGATGCTATCCACTCTCTTAAATTGTGTGATTTACTATGCAAACTTAAAAGCGAAATTATATGACTGTCTTCTAGTGAAATAATTAGGATCTTGTCTGAATGCCTGATAATTCCGCAACAGGCTATATTGTGGTTGTATAGTTTTAATTTTCTCTTTTCGTTATTGCCAGTTATCCTTAGTTTTATATATGATTTTACCCTGTTTAATCTGTTCACAGAATACTTTATTTGTTTTCTTTCAATGGTGCATAAATGAATCCATTTATTTTACTTCTCTTATGATCTTTTCACTTTTGACATTTATCAATTTAATTTGCTTTAATACCAAATTTTCTTCAGAATAAAAATTTAGAAGTACAAAAGGAGTTACGTAAGAAAGAACGTATGGAAAAAGATTTAAAACAAGTACGCACTGAAGTTGAAACGAAAATGGAAGAGATCAGTTTAACATCTGCATCTGTTGAAAAATTGAAACAAGAATTACGTACAAAAGAGGAAGAGAATCGTGCAACAAAGGTATCCTTAGAACAAGCTAATCGTCATTTACAAATAACTGAAGGCAAATTAAAAGATTGTCAAGCGAAACTTGAACAACAAATTCAAGTTACTGAGTCTGTAACAGCTGAAGTACAAGCAAGAACCATTGAAGTTAAGGTACAAGTTGATTTAATTTTCATGTTTATTATTTTTTTACTTTATCTGCGATAAAACATTCATATCTATAAGAATACAACGGTTAACTATTCTATGTTGTAAGTTGTTGGGAAAAACAGTTCTGAATTTTAGCTGTTGTTCATAATCATATCACTAAAACAGGCAGCGATACCTTAAACCAGCCTAACTGAATCACAGAAACTTCAAGAATCAAAAACAAACTATCGACGTTCTTGTCAAAGTGGCTTTGTAAATACTGATTTACGTAAAAATGAAAATGGAACAAAATCAAAGTGTTTTACTCCTAGAAGTAAGGTCATTGGATTTGCTATTAAAATACAGAGTAAAGACAAACAGACACTTAAGCAAATAATGACTAAAATATCCTACATAGAGTGCATCCAAGACAGCAAGTTAGCTAAATAACTGAAGCTGGTTCATACACGAATCTGAGTTCACAGAAAGGAATAGTGTATAAACACTCAAAATATCACTCTAGCAACTACTGAAATAACCAACCTTGAATTTCTGTTATGGGATGAGACGGCAGTATTTTCATAAAATAAAAAATATCTAGTTGATTATTTCAGTGGTTTCTAGGATGGCCTTTAAAGTCAATCGTATGAACAAGTCAGTGAGGTATGATACTTGTTACAGGCTGGATTTTCACCAATGATATTTACGGGGAGTTATAAAACAATCGTCAAATCCTAAAGAAGGATGTCGCTCAAAAGACGTTTAAATGTGTGTGTGTGGTGATTAAGTTTAAGCCTTCCAACTTCCCAAAAGCAAAACTAATTTATGATCTGGCTTGTATAACCGATACCTTCAGTATGAAAAATTCGGACAACAGGCCTAAATATGTGGGGTTAACAACTTAACCTTCAATAAATATATATAAATGGGTTTTGTTTTGATTTGAAGTTGGTATTCATCATAAACCTATATAAATTGGAGGAACAGTGGAAACTTGGAATCACTGGACAGCTGTTTCGTCCTATCATGGGACTTCTTGGCAGGGATCGAACTCAAGACATTTAGGTTCTGTTGTCAGCACGTTACCATTGAGCCACTGGGTCGGAATCCAATGGTCCATATTTCCAACCTCTGTTTTGATTTATAATGCCATCCAATGGTATTGTGAAGATGTTCAATGGTAGCGACAAAAGTACTTTAAAATAGAACTGTCCCCACTCAAAAATTAATTTATATTCCTCATAAAAACGTAACTGTAACACTTTGGTTATCTGGTGTTTCATTAGAAGTGAAAAGTTAATGGATGGGGTGGAATAACTATTATTAACCAATTATAATGTGCATCTTGCATGAAATGTAAGTAACTGCAGTAATACCCCATGATATGAGGCTTGCTTTCTTTTGTAGGAAGCCTTAAAAACTGATTTTGTATCTCCACTAAAAGGACATACTCTAAGAAGACCTAGAGCTACATTACACGGAAATTCGAAAACCTTTGACTTTCAAAGGTTATTAAAACTTAAAACTTACTAGGAACCTCTTTTAGACCAAGATATCTGGTTAGTTAATTATTTTATTTGCTTGGACAGTGAGATGTTTTTATTTATTGATACTTTATAAGTGCATATATTCATGGCAAAATGTAACTCCTGGCACAGATACTCCAATCCGCTCACCCTTTAAATTTGAATTTGAATACGCACAACTTTTTCAGTCATAAACGGGAAGTCGTCATCAATAAAGTTTTATGTAGAAATAACAGTGATGACTACGTTAAATTTATAACTGAGGCATCCTTCTGACTTGTTAAAATAATGAAAATCACTCATACGCCAACCTAACTTTCCTATCCCACACTGCCCACCCATTTCCAATGAAAAGTGTTGTTCTAAATTCACCGGAAAAGGTGTTTTCAGGTGTTCCAAATCCTTGAACCCGTCACACAGTTTAAGTCCCGATGGCAAGTCAAGTTTCATATTCATGAAGTGTGTTGATACATTAGGCCATCCATTAACTGACATGTTTTATGGACTGGTTTCTGAAAACACCATACCAGCTGCCTGCAAAAATATTAGGATATTTCCCATACTTAAGTCGGTGACTCCAAAACGTTACTTCTCTGCTTTTGAAAATAATAGAGGAGCTAATGATACCTATGCTCAAGCCCTCATTAAAGGTTTTCGGAGATTCTCATCAGTTTGCATACAAAAGCAAAAGAAGCACTCTTTATCCCACCACTTTCATGTATCACAATATTGTTTATAATCTTGATCGAAATGCCAAGTATCTCAAGTGTGCCTTTTTAGACTATACTTCAGCATTTGAATCTGTCCAAAAACCTCTTTTGCTAGACAAGCTAGCCTAGACAAATACTAAGTCCCAGATAATCAGCTGGCTGTATTCCTATTTCTCTGGAAGGGAACAAGATATCCTTCACAGAGGGAAGGGCTCCACCTTATTACTTATGACGACTGGTGTTCCCTTTCCATCGGTCTCTCCTATTTCTTTCTGCGTTACTTACGATCTTCAGTTAGTATCAATTTTATCAAATGTGCTGGTGACCTGACAGTCTTTGTATCTGTCTCCTCTTCAACAGGCTGTTCCCAACTGAATGACTTACTATCTACTGTTATACGATGGTCCTCTGGGAATGGTCTTATGCTTAATCCTTCAAAATGTCAGACTATAAACTTTAGTTTCAGACATGTACGCAGTCTATGTAAACTGCCTGGTTCTCATGATCCGTGTTCTATTGATAGACTGTTATAAGTGTAATTTATCTCGGTATGTTCTTCTTCGGACCTTTCCTGGTCCTCCTATATCTTAATAATTTCCAAGAGAATTTTCTCCCCAACCTTCTATATTAACAAGCTGAGAGTATCTAGTATTACTCAGCCTCTTCTCTTGTGTTTTATAAACTTCGGCATCTTGCCTGTTCTCCTCTATTGTTCACCTTTATTCTTTCCTGGGTTGCTGGAAAAAGACTATGCCATGTTGCGTAGGACTTCAAGACTGTCAGCAAAACTAGTGGTATACCTCCAAACCTTCTAACTTAAACTGTTGTGGACAAACATATTAACGTATGTAAACATGTAGCAGGAGTTATTTTATTTGACGGCCAGCATCCTCTTCACTCAAAGCTGTTTGCGTGTTGGTCGTCAGCAAAGACTAGAACCAAGTATATAAGACTACATGTACGTACTGCTAAATATAAAGACTTCACAATATCGTATTTATTTCGTCTCCTGTGTGACGAAGAAAGTATTCGAAATGAACTAACTAACCAACTTTTGTTTTTGAAAGCAAACTAATTAAAGAGTATACAGCTTGCCATTATTTGTGTATTTTAAATTTAATTACTAATGTGATTGTCTACCTAAGTTAACTCTGCATTTCCAAGAAAGTTTTAGACAGTAAATGTTCTAATCTTTCATGTGTAATTTATACTTATTTCTTTTTATTATGTATATATATACACTACTTCTGACCAATGGGTGCTATATGACATGCTGAAAATTCTATAGTATTCCGGAAATATCTTCCAGAAGAAGGCCTTTATTGTTATTATTATTATTGTTTCTATGGTTTGTTCAAACAGCCTGAATGAATGAGGGAACTATCAGTTAAATTCATTTTATATCTTTTAAAACTAAATTATCGTAGTGAACTTTTTATACATATTGACACATTCAAACTTAGCGATACCTTATGATGGTGGCCAGCAGCTATAGATTTTACAAAGTGATGAAACTGAGGTTAGTTGTAGAAAGCGAGACATGTAAGTCTGTTGAGAAGGTTGTGAATGTGCAAAACTGGGAAGACTAAAACATTTACGTTGCATGGGAAAACTTGCCTATTGCTGTAATACACCAACTGAGCTGAAGTATAGTTTTGACTTAAGAAACTTAAGTATGGTTAGACTAAGGTATTTCACTAGTCCATGGTGTCATTGACTGATAATCAAACCTGTCTAGAAAGATGGAGGCTGTTTGAAATCTTAGGAAACAATGATTCCGAACTGTCGGTGATATAACACACAGTAAACCAGCATGGTAGAGGTGTATTTCCACCTGACTACAATTTCCTTTGTTATTGTTGAGATATTCCTTTGGTTGGTTTAAATCTATGTATTTGTACTGTCTTTCGAAGTAGATCGATGACATTTTCCTTAAATCTAGACTACAGTTTTATTTAATCTTTTCGTCTTTCTAGAATAAGTTCTCTCTACTTAGAGTTGCTCAGGTTGATGAGTTTGTTTTACACTGCTTGTCTTTAGTCTAGCGAAATCTGAACCTACCACAAAATGTTTCAAATACCAAAGTGAGACCTATTAAACTGTGCATGTAGGATAACTAACCTTTTTTCAAGGAAAGTAGTATTATGAATAGGGTTTGTAATCCTATGTTACTGACTTAATGCCAACATTTAAAAAACTAGTTAAAACCAGAGTTTAGGCATTGATTATAATATTTAACTTGATAGTGTTCGAGTATTATCGCTTCTTTCAACATTTATTTTGTATTTCTTTTGACTTTGAAAAAGACAAAGTGATTGCTGTACGTCAATTTCCCCCCTACTGTATAGGCTTTGACGATGTACTATTTGAATAAATGTCTTGAAGAACATTAAGTAAAGATGTTAGTTCTTGTTATGATTTTCTTTCATGCTTCACTCATCATCTTAAGATTTCGGCCTACTGACCGATTGTTCAAGTTTATGTCATATTGTTTATATCCTACTTCACCACATCTCAAACTTGAAGGTAATTGCTGTGATTTTTACCACATATTTTGATCTTTCTGACAAGCAATTGGTAAGAAATTTGACTTTGCGTGAGCCCGATCCAATCCAGTGCAGCCAGGAAGAGAACTGATATGAGCGTAACATGCACAGAAATTCATGTGGTAACTCTTAACAGAACTCGTAAATTTTGAACGTTAATTCTAATTACTAAGTCGTATTATAGTTCTCTAACCACTACTCTTCTGCTTTAATTAAATTTTCTATAGTCGTACAATTTACTGTAGACCTCTAGGATACAACATATTGAGAGTTTCTCATTTTATTTTATCGAAAATCAAAAGGCCAAGAATTCATGAAATTTCTTAGATAGTCAATTTACGTTTTTCTCACTTCTGATAGGTTATATTTGAGATGTCAAAATTTGGCAAATATGTAAGGGTTTTTTGTTGCCTGATGACATCACAATTTTTTGATAAAAGTGTGTAACAGAAGTAGACTTTGGTAATTTGGTTGGTTGTGGCTAGCAGAAGAATCCAAGATACGTGTTTCATCCTATTTGGGACTCATCAGCTGGATATACCTGCACCCAAGTGAGTGATGTTGTTCCCACTGACACTCGAACCTCGTACCCATCGCTTCAAACGCCAAGGCGTTATCCACTATGTCATGGAGGAACGATAGCCATTTTCTTGTACAACGGGTAGCAGTTATTACTATTTATTGACATACTTGTTATTCTCCGTTGTCTTGTTGTCTTGTATTAATAACTACTACCCGTTGTACAAGAAAATGGCTATCGTTCCTCCATGACATAGTGGATAACGCCTTGGCGTTTGTAGCGACGGGTACGAAGTTTGAGTGTCAGTGGGAACAACATCACTCACTGGGGTACAGGTATACCCAGCTGATGAGTCCCAAATAGGATGAAACACGTATCCTGGATTCTTCTGCTAGCCACACCAGCCAAATTATCATAATTAACATTTAGGCAACATCGAGGCATCCGCATAGGAGCCCATATGACAATAGAGGTCGAACAATTCAATCCAACAAGACAACAGAGAATAACAAGTATGTCAATAAATAGTAAGTAGTTGATTTTAATTACATGCATCTGGTTATTAGATAATAAGCAGCACTTATAGTAACAAAACATTTTCATCTTATAAGGTGTATTTTCACCTGTGTAATCCAGGTGTAGTATACTAGAAGAAATAAGAAGATAAACAAATATTTTGTATGATTCCTCAACTTTTCGATCTTGCTAGGAAGATCCTTTTCAAAAGTATGAATCAGTTTCCCCGTCTAATGTTAGTCCATAATGAATACTACTTTGAACAGTGCACTGACCGATTTTTCCCCTCCGCAATTCACTAATTTCTTTCTTAGGTTGCTTATCGATGCAACAACCAAAACGTCATTAAATTTGTATCAGCTTTATAAGTTCATAATGTAGGACGGGATTGAAAAAAATCATTATATGGTTGTTAAACAGCAGTCAATCTATTTCTAACTCTATTGTGAACGATTTATTTGTTATTTATACTGTTGCAGTAATCTATGAAACAACATCCGAGGGTTACAATCAAAACATGATATGCGAATATAGTTTATTCGGTTCAGTCATGTTTAATGTTTTGGAAGAAAGCAAAGCATATTTTATCATAAGCTAGTATGCTGTATCGAATTATGATTTGATTTTTATTTCACTGTCAGTCAACTGACGAAATACGATTTCTTTTTTTCTCTGTTCAAACGATCAAGAAATATTTCAGATTACCAAGTATCATATACAACTTCTCTAACAAATATGCAGAAGAAAGTGGAAATGGGTTAGGCATGCACTGAGGAGGCCCATTGGGGACATCATGCGTCAAGCCCTTGAGTGGAACTCAAATGGGAAGCGACGAGTTTAGCGTCTGAGGTGAGGGTGACATGGAAGAGATGATGTTAGGAAGAAATGAAAACTTCAAGGCAGTAGTAGAGAGACGCCGAAAAGATTGTAGAGAACAGAGTGCAATGGAGACATGCTAGTGATGCCCTATGTTCCACTAGAAACCAAAAGGAAAAAATAATAATAATATGCAGCTTTTAACAAATACGATTTACTTGAGTGTTGTCTTCCTTAATGTTATTTTTTTTTGTGTATGTGTTTTTTTTTACAGCAACGTGAAGAGGAAGTACAACGTACAAAAGCTGATTATAATAGATTACTAAAACAAACTGAAATGGCTCAAAAGAAATTGAATCAAGCCGAAGAAGAAAAGGTGAATTTAGAGCATACTCGTGAACGTCTACGAAATGAAATACAAGCATATGAAAATGAAATGGAATTAATGCGTAAAACACATGAAATCGACAAAAAAGCATGTGAAGAATTAGGCAGAGAAAAGGAAACATTGAATAAAACTTTGACAAAGGCTACAGCACAAACAGCTAAACAAGCGAATCTTTTAAAAATGCATGAAATGTCAAAACAAAATTTAGAACAAGAAATTATTAATTATCGTGATGAAGCACAAAAACAACGTAAAATTATTTACAAGTTAGAACGTGAACGTGATCGATATATAACTGAAGCTTCTGAGTTAACTCAAAAAGTTTTACAGAATATGGATGATTTAAAATTTCGTGAAATGCAAATTTTTGAAAATAAGAAAAAAATTGCTGAAGCTGAGACAAAATTAAAACAACAACAGAATTTATATGAAGCTGTACGCAGTGATCGTAATATGTATAGTAAAAATTTAATTGAAGCACAAAATGAAATAATTGAAATGAAAAGAAAATTAAAGATTTTATCACATCAAATTGCTCAATTAAAAGATGATATAGCAACACGTGATGCAACCTTAGTTAAAGAAACAATGGAACGACAAAAAATTGAAAAAGACAAAGAACAATTAATGAAAGATTTAGAAAAAATGAAAGCACAAATAATTGAAAATCGTGCCTATATAGAAGCACAAGAAGCAGAAGAAAGTAAACTATTGAAAATTGTTACTGAAGCTGATAATGAACGTGTTAAAGAGAAGAAAGAACATGAACAAGTTGTTAGTGAAAGAGATGTCTTAGGCAGTCAATTAGTACGTAGAAATGATGAATTAGCTTTACTTTATGAAAAAATTCGTATACAACAGTCTATATTAAATAAAGGTGAAGCACAATATAACGAAAGATTAAATGATTTAAATCTATTAAAACAAGAAGTTAGGAAATTAAGACGTGAAAAAGCTTTACTTCAAGCTACAGCAACAAAAGTTGAAGATCTTAAAGTAGAAATTAATAGAATTCAAAGGAATTTATTGAAAGAAAGATCAAGAGCAAAGGCACTTGAAGAAGAATTACAAAATCCAATTAATGTTCATCGATGGAGAAAACTGGAAGTAAGTATATGCTGCATTTATTATCATTTCAGTCACTTTTATACTGATCTTGATGACTAGCAGAGTAATGTAGGACGCGTATCTCCTCCTATTTGAGACTCATCGTCTGGATGTACCTGCACCCTAATGAGTGATGTTGTTTTCACTGACGCTCGAACCCAGTAATCATCACTTCAAACGCCAGAGCGTTATCTACTTAGCCACGTTTTATGCTACAGGTATCATAACAATCACTCACTTTTAGTTTCTCTCTTTAAGAAACCAAAATCACAATGATATGCCAGTTTCTACTAGTTAAAAACATTTAGGGCTGAAAAGGTTTATGCTGATAATCATCAGTTATCTCATTCCTTAGGTATGTCTCCCTCACTTGCCGCCTTACTAGTTAATTCAGGTGTTTTTATTTCCTGAATATTTTCCTAGTAATAGTAAAATGTAACCGTTAAGGTTGTTAGGTGGCACAACCGGAAATCAATCCCACTAAAACAAATCCATTCACCTTTCATTTAAACGAATGTAATAAGTATTGTTTGTGTTCTAACATAAAAGATGAATTTTGAAATTTTTCATATCAAACCTGAATCAGTCATAAATTTTTTCAAATAGTAAATAATAAACAGTAAATTAGTTACAAATCTACATCTTTTTAGCTAGTGTGATTGACAAGATACAAAATGTGATGATGTCAGCAAAAGGTGTAACAAGTATTCGAATATACTGATATAAACAAATAGTATTAAATATAATAAAACAAACGACAAAGATATGTGATTGTATCTTAAACAAAATAATACACTAAAGTTCAGGAACTTAAAACACCTGATTAGAGATAATAATAGTGATTTGTAGGGGACCCGAAGGAATGTCAAGTAAACAAAAATATTAGGTGGATTATAGTTAAATAAAACCTCGCCTGGTTAACTAGTTCACTAGTTACTAGCCGGTCCTAAGCCCGGGTAAAGAGGGAAGGTTGGGCATAGGGCTAGCAACCCTACCCCGTAAAACAAATCTAACCACTAAAGAAACTTCAAAGCACAAACAAAATATAAAAAATGAAAACAAACTTATTCCCCGCTGGAATCGGAGAGGCGAAATGACGCCAGTTGGTGAAAGCCTTCGCGAAGCCAATTGGCCGATGTGTCTTCTCTCGATGAAAGCGAAAGTAAACGTGGGGACATGGAATGTCCGTACGATGTTTGAACCCAGTAAGGCAGCCCAGATTGCAAACGAGATGAGAAGGTATCACATCGAAGTGCTTGCGATTTGCGAAAGCAGATGGAATGGGAGTGGACTCTGCAAACTGTCAACTGGAGAATCAATAATCTACTCCGACATTGTCACCCAGACGACAACCACGAGCACACTGAGGGAGTGGCTATCATGATGTCCTCAAGAGCATCGAAGGCTCTCATGCAGTGGGAACCAATCTCCTCCTGCAGGATCATGACAGCAAGATTCAACTCAAAAGGAAGGAAGGTCACAATCATACAATGTTATGCACCTACAAATAATGCAGAGCAAGAGGAAAAGGAGGATTTCTACAGACAACTTCAATCAACACTGGACAAGACGTCAGTTGGCGATATCAAAATTCTAATGGGTGGGGCGACATGAATGCCAAACTGGGAGGGGACAACACGGGAAGAGAACTAACCATGGGTCGAGAGGCGCTAGGTGAAATGAATGAGAATGGAGAATTGTTTGCAGAATTCTGTGCATTCAACGATTTGGTGATTGGAGGCAGTGTGTTCAAGCACAAGGATACCCACAAAGCGACATGGATTTCACCAGATGGACACACTAAAAATCAAATCGACTTTATCTCAATCTCAAGAAAATGGAGACGCAGTCTACTTAACACAAGGTCAAGAAGAGGAGCAGATGTAGGTTCAGACCACTGACTATCTGGTGTAAGGAACTTTCCAAATCAAGTTAAAAGCCTTCAGGGAAGCTGGTGATAGACCGGAGTTCAAGTACAACACTCGGAAACTGAAGGATGAAACTACAAAGGAGATCTTCAAAGCAGCCATCAAGACAAAATGGGAGACATCGAGCAACATCCCTGAAGAAACCTAAGTGAATGAACACTGGAAGTCTTTGAAAGCTATGTGGAAAGAAACCTGCACAACAGTATTAGGAAGGAAGAAGAAAGAAGACAAGGAATGGATCTCGACGGATACCTGGAAGCTGATAGAGGAGAGGAGGATGGTGAAGCAGAAGATAAACCAGTGCAAGGATGCTCAACGACAAGAGGAACTGAGCACAATGTATAAAACACTGAACAAAGAATTAAAGAAGAGTGCACGCAAAGACAAAAGACACTTCTACGAAACACTGGCAAGTGAAGTAGAACAGGCTGCAGGTAAGAGAGACGTGACAACACTGTGTCAAATAACCAGGTTGCTATCTGGGAAGAGATCAGCACAGATGAATCCAACAAAAGATGAAGAAGGAAGTTTGACTACCAAAGAAGAGAAAGAAAGAAAACAATGGGCCGACCACTTCAAGAAGCTCTTGAATCGACCACCACCTACACTTCGTCCAGAAATACCACCTGCAGCCGCTGAATTACAAGTGAACATAAATCCCCCAACGAAAATGGAAGTCCTGAACGCCATAAAGCTACTGAAATGCGGGAAAGCAGCAGGACCAGATGGGATACCGCCAGAAGCACCGAGAACAGATGCAGAGACAACAGCGGACATGCTCACACCACTATTGCAGAAGGTGTGGAAGGAAGAGAAAGTACCTGACGATTGGAAGAAGGGTTACCTTGTCAAACTGCCGAAGAAAGGAGACCTGAGTGCTTGCAAGAACTGGCGCGGAATCACTCTCCTGTCCACCCCAAGTAAAATATTAAGCCGCGTCATCCTGGAGAGGCTTAAAGATGCACTGGATTCAAAACTACGACCAGAACAGGCAGGCTTCAGGAAGTACAAATCATGTGCAGACCAAATTGCCACGCTTCGCATCATCATAGAACAGAGCATAGAATGGCAATCAGCTCTCTACCTCAACTTCATCGACTTTGAGAAGGCCTTTGACAGCGTCGACCGAGAAGTAATTTGGAAACTGCTTCAATACTACGGAGTACCGCAAACCTTTATCCGCCTCATTCAACAACTATATGAAGATGCCACATGCCAAGTAATCCACAATGGGAAGCTCAGTGATGCTTTTGAAGTGAAGACAGGAGTGAAACAAGGTTGCCTACTATCCCCCATGATATTCCTGATTGTGGTCGACTGGATCATGCAGCAAACATTAGGCAGCGAGAAGAGGGGGATACACTGGACGGCGGAAAAGAACCCAGAAGACTTGGATTTCACCGATGACTTGTGCCTAATGTCACACAAACTTGAAGATCTACAGGCAAAAACTAACAAGTTGATAGAAGGGGCAGGGCAGCGAAGACGGGACTTCAAGTGAATATAGAGAAGACAGAGGTGATGAAGATACCGCACCAACAACTCCAACAACAACAACAAACTCCAATCACCATGAACGGGAGAAACTTAAATGAAGTAACCTCCTTCACTTATCTAGGAAGCACTGTTTCAACTACAGGCGGGACGGACGAGGACGTCAAAGTCAGAATCGGAAAAGCAAGACAGGCGTTCATTAGCCTGAAACCAGTGTGGAGATCTGCACTCAGCATGCGGAACAAGATCCGGATTTTCAACACCAATCCAGTCAAGTCAGTGCTCCTGTATGGTTCAGAGACTTGGCGCGTCACGAAAGGCATTTCCAATAAACTACAGACATTCATCAACAACTGCTTACGCTCGTTACTGAAGATCAGATGGCCAGAATAATAAGAATAAGCAACAAGGAACTCTGGGAACGAAGCAACCAAGAACCTATCACTCAACAAATATGCAGGAAGAAGTGGAGATGGATTGGCCATGCACTGAGAAGGCCGACTGAGGACATCACGCGTCAGGCCAGGTACCCGAGTGGAATCCCCATGGGAAGCGACGAGTTGGACGTCCGAGGGTGACATGGAGAAGGTCGTGCGAGGAGGAAATGAGAGCTTGTGGGCTGTCGTGGAACCAGGTTCAAAAGATCTCAGAGAACAGGATGAAATGGAGACGTGCTACTGAAGCCCTATGTTCCAGTAGGAACCCAAGGGACTAATAATAATAATAATAGTTAAATAAACACAATTGTACACAAATACAGAAAGTTATGCATTATCGTTATTATTATTATTACTGTTATTAGTCCTTTGGGTTCCTAATGGAACATAGGGCTTCAGTAGCAGGTCTCTATTCCACTCTCTTCTCTACAATCTTTTCAACCTGGTTCCACGACAGCCCACAAGCTCTCATTTCTTCCTCATAAGATCTCCTCCATGTCACCCTCGGTCAGACGCACAACTCGTCGCTTCCCATGGGAATTCCACTCGAGGGCCTGGCCTGATGCGTGATGTCCCCAGTCGGCCTTCTCAGTGTATGCCCAATCCATCTCCACTTCCTTCCAGTGCATATTTGTTGGGTGATAGGTTCTTGGTTGGTTCGCTCCCAGAGCTCCTTGCTGCTTATTCTTTCTGACCATCTGATCTTCATTGGCGGGCATAGGCAGTCGTTGGTGAATGTCTACAGTTTGTTGGAAATCCCTTTCGTAACGCGCCAAGTCTCTCAACCATACAGAAGCACCGACTTGACGTTGGTGTTGAAAATCCGTATCTTGTTCCACATGCCGAGCGCAGTGCAGAAGATCTCCACACTGTTTTCAGGATAATGAATGCCTGTCTTGCTTTTCCGATCCTGACTTTGACATCCTCGTCTGTGCCGCCACCTGTAGTTAAAGCGGTGCTGCCTGGATAGGTGAAGGAGGTTACTTCATTTAAGTTTCTCCCTTTGATGGTGATTGGAATTTGTTGTTGTTGGCGTTGTTGCTTGGGTATCTTCAACACCTCTGTCTTCTCTATATTCACTTGAAGTCCCGTCTTCGCTGCCCTGCCCCTTCTATCAACTTGTTAGTTTTTGCCTGTAGATCTTCAAGTTTGTGTGACATTAGGCACAAGTCATCGGTGAAATCCAAGTCTTCTGGGTTCTTTTCCGCCGTCCAGTGTATCCCCCTCTTCTCGCTGCCTAATGTTTGCTGCATGATCCAGTCGACCACAATCAGGAATATCATGGGGGATAGTAGGCAACCTTGTTTCACTCCTGTCTTCACTTCAAAAGCATCACTGAGCTTCCCATTGTGAATTACTTGGCATGTGGCATCTTCATATAGTTGTTGAATGAGGCGGATAAAGGTTTGCGGTACTCCGTAGTATTGAAGCAGTTTCCAAATTACCTCTCGATGCATTATTATACAAATGAGTAATGTTGGTGTTACTGGATAATAATTAGTTACTTGAGTGTTATCTCTTTGATACTGTCCACCACAATTTTGGTATACTCCAATGTTAACTCAGCAGGTGATACTTGTTTACCCTCCATAGTTGACATTAGTTGACTTGATTGTTGTGATATTTGCAAGTAGGATGAAAAGTCCTGTAAAATCCAAAGACAATCAATAAGCACCTACATCAGACAGTGGTTAACGGAGGCAGAAGTCATAGTGGATAGAAGCATACTGTATTTTCAGGTTTTAAAAGTAGAAGCAAAGTGATACCACCACAACCAAAATTCCAATTTTTAAGTTGTACAGATAAGAAACATTTGTTTTTCCAAGCATTAAGAAGAATGTATAAAATATGTGAAAAGTAATCAAAAGGGGACATTATTTTTAATTTATATGGTTCATAAATAACTTTATGCAGCCTCCACAGATTTAAGCCTTAGTAATTATCATTTTATATATTTTACTTGCCTTGAATTTCGTAATTACTGTGAAAATAATAGTTAGGTTTCTAATAAGTGTATTTATTTTTCTCAACATTGATTTCCTGTCTATTCTATTTAAAAAAAGTTAACAGTAGCTTCTTAACTTGTTGTACGCTTGTTCTATGTATGTTATGCACAACTAAATGACCTGGATGATTCTTGTGAACTTCGAATGAAAAATAAGCTGTAAACTGGCTGTTTGTAGACACGATGTTTGAAGACATTCTTAGCGGTTAATGTTTTTTTACATAGCACTTAAAAACCTTCAAGTGATTTCAATAAATACGACATCTTAAACATCATAGCCGACAAGATTTACCATTTTCTCAATCTCCTGAATACAAACCACTTACTGATTGTATAAGTACAGCATTTCTGATAGGATTTTAAACGTTAAGGTTGTGATGTCTTATTGTTGCTAGTGTGACTGAACTCTTGAAAGATTTCTAGAAATGATTGATTGGTGTTTCTAGTAATGATGGTCGACTATTGTTGTGAGGGGTTAAATAGAGATTAGAATTAAAAAACACACCATCATAGCGTGAAATTGTTAAATGTTGGTTTCAGTACTGTATCGAAGCATAGTCTGTATTACTGGATTTAATGAGAATCCAGAAATCAACAGCTGAAGAAACCCAGTGATATAGCCCAAAACCAGTCAGAGGTAGACAAACAACGACATAGAACCTGGCATTGCCGCGCAATGGTTCAAGTTGTCTAACCACATATCAGCACATCAAGCGGGAATGTACTAAGATGAAAGATAAAGAAGCAAAGAAAAAAAACTAAAAGTAATAGAAATCCATGAACAGAGAGCCAGATGCAATGAGAGGATACTGGGATTCAATATGATGGTTAAAATGAAGATAATGTTTGGATACATCAGTGACTCTGAAATTGATTATGAGCCATATCACCCAGAGTCTACAACCATTGGTTTTGTTGTTATGTGAATCCCGACCGGCTAGTCTGCATCTCCCTACATGCTTGAAGGACTTCATACACATAGTCTGAAACCCCAAACATTTTCCCAGCGTAAACCTACTTCAGTTAACATTGCTTGATAAGGCAGACGATGACTAGGTATGCTTAGCACATGTCCTAGCCATCTTAGTCGATAAGGGCTCACAACCACATTAACTAACTTTCCTTTCCTCCCTAAAATTCTATACCTGACTTCTGTGCTATTGACATAGTGGCACCACAACACATGATCTGCTCTACGCAAGTAACTGTGGTTAGAAACTAGAAGTTTTTAATGTCCTCTACCTTGGATGGCCATGTTTCACAGCCATACACTAAAAAAGAGCGAATTGCAGCGCCGTACACTTGACCTTAAACATAAAATCGAATATCACAGTGGCACAAGAAATGACATTAGTTGGTGAAAGCCAAATGAGTCTTCTGCATCCATGCAGAGATTTTGTCGGCCACTGACCCACCACGACTGGTTCGACTTCTCTGGTGAGTGAAGTGGTCAGCGCACTCATCCGTTTCACTCCAGACTATTAGACAAGTCACCACTGAAGACTAGTCCTGAAGTAACGATTTTCACTTCAGTTGCCAGAAATGCATCCCAGACATTTTCAAACTGCCGCTCAGTGTCCTGAAAACTTTACATATTGACAGCTACTCCACCTAACATAACTATACCATCTGCTTACTCCGGATCTTCTGAAGAGTTTTTTTTGACAAAATAAATACCTGTACAGTCAGGTGACGATAGGAAGACATCTATAAGTATATTTAAGATAAAATTAAACAAGAATGTTGGGAACGTATATACTTGTTGGATACCATTTTAGGTACATAACTCACTTGATAACTCACCACAGGCTTTAATACGCCCACGGATGTTCAAGTAAACGGTCTTCAGTAGAGTGATGTTTTTACTTGCCAGACAGTCCTTTCAGAGAGAGATAAAGTCATGAGACCTCTCAGTCGATGGATTTAAATGCTGGGGACCAGTGACAAAGATGTATGCGCTCTCGCTAATATCTTCAAAATATTGAATGTATGTCGTATCTCTATGTATTTCTGAGTTCTTTATACTTATTCATACATTCTTTCATTCCTGTTCACTGCATTATTTTGTGTTGTTCGGAAGTATGACAACATTAATCGTTACGCTCCTGTGAAAGGTCTGTTGCTGGTCTGTGTATTTACAAATGGTTAACTAATAGTTACATACTAAATCAACTATCGCTATTAGGTTGTAATTCATCACGGACTGACACCAGTTAGAGGAGAATTGGAAACCTTGGAGCACTTGACAGCTATTTCGTCCTAGTATGGAACTCCTCAGTACGAAAAGATGACCTCCCCATGGGTTGAACCCAGGACCTTCAAGTCCCGTGGCCAGTACTTCATCACTGAGAGAAGTGATTCCCAAAGTTCCAATGAGAAGTTCTGACCAATGGAGTCAACCAAGTCGAACATAAGGACAGTTATTCAAATACGACATTGGATGTAGGTCGCGCTATACCATGAACTGACAGAATTAGGAAATGTAGGCGACTGGATTCCAACCCAATGGCTCAGTGGTAACCTACTGGCCGCGGAACCTGGAGGTCATGGGTCCGACTTCTAGAGAAGTCATGGGTGCGCACTGCTAAGGAGTCCCATGCTAGGACGAAACAGCTGTCCAATGCTCCCAGGTTTCCAATTCTCCTCTAACTGATATCAGTCCGTGATGATTTCAAACCCAAAATTAATTAATAAACCTCCACAAACTTCTAGATAGAATCATCGCTTTTGCTTAATTTTTTCTGTCCACTAACTATTCTTTTTCAGTCCAATTTTAATTTCAGTGATTCCATTCAATTGATATTAAATAGTTCACTATATTTCTCACCTGAGTGATTGACAATACTACATATCTTTGAGGAACCTTAAAATATGATATTGTTTTACTCCTCGGTTGAATGACATATCAAGAACCTAACTAATTACTGAAGAAGCTTCATTAGAATTAACTGATGACTAAACCTGAAAGTTCACCAAAAATATAAATAAATGCCGGCAAAAGCCGAATTATATAAGTTTAACCATTATCTTTGTAACTTTATTTAAGTTTTTTTGATTGAACTCAAGTAATGGATTATTGAAGTTACTGAGATTGTTTTTTTAATTTAGATATACTACTTTGATACATGGAGAGAATTTGAATTCCTTCCACAAGTAATGTGAAGTTGGTTTTAGTTATTTCTCAAACTGTTCTGGTTTTATTGTTGGAAAAAATCTATTATTTTTGTTTTGAGGTTGTAGGTTGTGTTGAAAACTGTTTACCAGGGATTATCGTAAAAATATTCCACAGTATATCGATTCACTTGGAATAAGTATGATTTATGAAATCATAAGATGATACTGAATCTCTTTAGGAATGTCATATACTGAAAGAAAATGCACGATTTTAGATTCAGCTTGTTGTACCCTTGATCTAGTAGAAAAGACAAATATTGTATTAAATTATTCACCAAGTCATTCATAAATTTTAAAATTGCTTTACAATTGTTATGCATACATAAAATTTCCTAAGAAAAGGACAAAGTTAATATTGATAAAATGGAAAACAATTACTATAAGGTATATTGCTGCAAAACATTGGGAAGTTTTAAAAGGAATAAATATCGATAATGACACTTGTGAGATGAGCAAATAACCAGTATTTAAAGGTGAAGCGTTGCGCACAATTATTTTGTATCAATGGACTCCTATTGAAATTATCAGCAAAGCTTTTTCCAATCATCGTTTGAGTATGATGTGCAGCTAAACACTTTTTCACAAAAATTCCCTTATACAATATATTGTCCAGAAATAGTTGTTCATAGATGTAGGTATACTACAAAACCCAGATTTTTTGACTGTATATAAAACTGTGTAACACTTTTAAACTGCTGATTGTCTCTCATCACTTCTTTATCGTATACAGAAATGTTTATAAATAAATTCACTGACTATGTCCTCTCTTTTAACCTATTTAGGGCAGTGATCCTTCTACATATGAAATGATACAGAAAATTCAGGCCTTACAAAAACGTCTTATTAGTAAGACAGAAGAAGTAGTTGAAAAAGAATTGTTGATTCAAGAGAAGGAGAAAATTTACATCGAATTGAAACATATATTGGCACGTCAGCCAGGTCCAGAGGTTGCAGAACAACTCAACGTTTATCAAAGTATTATAAAAGATAAAACTAAACAAATGAAAGTAAGTAGTGCATAATATTAAACTTCTAGTTTGCTGTCAGCATTTATTAGCTTTTTCAGTGATCTATCGACTTCATAACAAAACCTCTGTTTAAGACAGTTAATCTCATACGGGAAATCAGTTCCCTCAAGGTAGAAGATAGGCTTCGCTGACGAGTGCTAAAAGGTAAGAAACCTAGGCCCAATAGGACTTTCTGCTAATTACCTTCGACCATCTAACAACCATCAAAATGCATCGTGGCAGAAAGCCTCCTAGCTTGGTCACCACATTTTAAAATGGTTGACAAAATCCATTCAGCACTCAGAACTAGAAAACATGAAATTGGGTGTTCTCCAGTGACCGATCACTGTATATAATCCAGTCCTACAAGAAGTCAGTTATGGTCCAATCAGTTGAGTGTTACATTCTCTGACTAAAACAATGGGTGATATGGGTTGAAATCTCAGAGGAGACTTGATTTTCATCAAGGCTGGATGAATGACTTGCTGATGAGTGACAAGAAGCATGATAATTAGGTATAACAAGGCTTCTTGCCGATCGTCTTCAACCAAGTAGTGTTTAGGTTATTTTTCTCTTCTCTTGATATTGTTCTAAAAGTAAATGGGTCAAGGCAGAGTATAACCAATACCAGTGAGTTATCTCTAATAAGTTTTATAGAGTATATCCATTTACTGAATATTGAGAAGCGTTAACACTACCTTCTTGGTCATACGATAAACTCGAAATACAACAAAAAAAGTAAAATAATTAAACAACATACATTTAGTAAACAGGTCCGTCAAAAACAAAAAAATATGAATAAATCTTTTATCTGGACGACAATTGAAACCTCCAATCAACTAACTGTAGAACCTTTAACTTCAGACTATTAAAGTCATGAAATTACATTAGTAAATGGGTTCTTTAAGGTGATTCGTTGATAATACCATTGAATAGATTTCAATTGTCAGAACATCAGGTTATTCGAAACCGAACTGAGGTAGACGTCATGGAATACAACACATTTTGTCAACAAATTACTACCGTTTTCATTTATTGCCTATTTACACCTCTTTCAATATCCTATTAACTTTATATTAACTTTATATTCTGAACAATTCTTTTTCTACTTTGATAAAAAGTTGTTAGTCTCGTAGTAAGGATACAGTCACATACGACTTCATGTTGCTCCATATAAAGTGTACTTATTTCTCAGTTTGCTAATGGATTGATCTACAGAGACAGATACAAGACATATCCAATCTGGTTGCATAACCAATAATTCTCATTCTAGGTAGTGATCCACTCCAGGTGTATACACATAGCCAAGAGAATCTAGAAAGCACTTTTTTTCTATGTAACAGAGTGAGCCAACTTGTTGACTAACCGTTCTCACTCAGATATCCAAAATATGAAATTGTGTATAGTACCTCACTTTCATCCATTGTGTAATTATTTTAGGTAAGTTAAAATTTCACTACCTAAATTTTAATTTACGCTTCACTTACCCCTTAGAAATAACTACCCAATATAGTAACATAATTCAAGTGAGAATAATCTTAGTGTAATTCCAGTTACTAAATGGTGATTGCCTAGCCATTGGCATGGATTATTATTTGAAGTAAAAGGTCAGCATTCAAACTTTTTACACTCGACTAAAACTTATTCTTGAGGTATTCTAAGATAGTGAATTGATAATCGTATTCTAACAAAGCAAGCAGTGATGAAATACTTGTTTAAAAGAAATCAAAGATTATTAAGTAGATATAGGTAGCCAGTATGTACTATGGAACACTGTCACGTTTCTTATCGCATTTAATGAAGAATCAGTCTCAACTCTGTGCTTACTGACTGTATTCTTATAAAACGTGCCCAAGATGCAGTTATTTATAATTGCGTATTCCAGCTTTAATTAATAATTTCTTACTTTACAAAGAGTATAATCTTTACTATTGTTATTAGTGTTTGTAGAAATGAGACGAACATTGGGTTCATTACATGACTTTTTGATACCATTTTATGAAACCCTAACAAAATAGATATTTTCAAAAGATACTCTGTATAATTTGTGATGGGATATACTTTATTCTATATGTACAGATTATTCGACATTTTGTAAAATATGCCATCTTTTAATCTTCAACACATTGATCAAAGGCTACTAAATAAAATAGCTCTGTGGGATAAAAAAATGTGAAACAGATAGAATTCTGACCTCAAGAAACAAATTAATATGTCATCCGTAAACACGTAGGTGGACCGGCTGTCGAATGATTCTATGCATACATTTAAAATAAACATAAGGAGAAAATAATTGTTACAGATAATCTTTTAGGTGTAAATGAACACTTACCCATACAATACCATTTATATCTTTCTCAACAAAACCCATTTACTGCATAATTCCACTGTAATCCAATATAATTTATTTCTTATTTTATGTTCGTGGAAAAAGGCAATGACCGCTGAGATGAACGTTTATGAAAGTCAAATAGCTGAGTATAAGTCAGAAATAGAACATCTGAATCGTGAATTACAAGAAGTTAAGAGAAATTACTTTAAACAAAAAAGACGTCAACAGAAGATGAATTTATCCAATGAAAGTAATAATAGCCAAAAAGAAGATAAAATTCAAAGGCATCTCCAGCAGCAGAGGCAATCAATATTACACGAACAGCCAAAAGATTCACAAGCACGTTTTACTGGTACCCTCTAAGTGTCATGAAGCGGCTAAAAAATTTTGAACATTGGTTCCTTTGTAGCATTGCTCGTTTTTATTGGAATGGCCGTGTGAGCAATGTTGAGATCAGGCGAAGGGTACTAGGCAAGACAGGCAAGTCGATTGATGACGTTGTGAACCTTCATCGACTAAGGTGGTATGGAATTCACTGCTTATACTGATCCACCGCCTACCTCGAAGTGATAAGCAACGGAAAGCTGGATTAAGTTGGAGGAGGGTTTAAAGTGGCCAGACCAAGACCTGGCACCAGTTATTGAAGTCCCTGACTGTTGGTCTGAGGCATGCTGGGAGATTAAGACTAGCTGACTGGAGTCCTCGAGATTACGGGAATCAGTGATTGAGGACTCTTGGTGACATGGCTGATAACCGATCACAATGGTGCAAATATATTCACTCCTTGAAGTCTTCTAATGCTTGAGTATTTTTACTAACCTTTACCTTCACACCATTTATTCTCTCACACATCTTTATTTACTTTCAGATCACTTTTTTTATCCCCCTGTTCTTTGTATACTACTGTGAAGTGTGGTAACCTGAGCAGATGCACTTTTATGGGACGTTCTACGCTAATTGTCTGTCTATCTCAGTGTCATTTGATAATGTTTTACAAGGATGTACACTGTAACCAGTTATAAGATTGTAATAGCTTTTCATTGGTCGACATCTATCCTACGTTCAGAATCCATTTTGACTGATTATTGACCGATCTGATTTGTTGTGACACCAGCAAAACAATGGTTTTATATGATGTAAACTTATGCACAAATCGACAAAAAAGTGCTAGTTATGACTGGTCTTCGTTGGATAACATTTTCATAAGGCGATTTATGTGAATGTTTCAACTTGGCTTATAGATCAAGAACTAGTAATTCTAATTTACATTTGGAATTCTAGAGTTTTATTGCATGCAGCCAACTGATTAAAGTAATAAGTAATAATCTCAATTGGACACTTTGGAAATTTGTTGCCAGTAAACCAATTAGTTTTGTCAATACCCATTCTTCATCAAATGAGAACGTGGTGATTCAGTAGGCAGCTGCAAAGGAATATGAAGTCTGTCTCGTAGGTAGTATTATTTGAAGTATTACCAGCGAGTATCTCTTAAGTCTGATACGCCACACAAAATGACTAGTTTTTACAAGTCTTCATTCACTAAGCATATGATTTTGGCCAACTATCCTGCTGAGAGCAGATATAAAGCATGTATTTGCCTCTAAGCTATTCTCTCTTATTTCTTAAGGGGCCACTCAACGCTTTGTGAATGTATAACTGTTCCAAAAACTATCCGATGTAAGGCTGTTTAACTTGTTTGCTCCGAACAGTGATGTATTCAGACCATTGAGTCGTTTAGTAACAGTCTTTTCGGAGAAGATCGATTAGTACATCATGCATTCTGGTCAAAAATGTCTACAAAATCAACAAGTGATAAGTCATCGAAATATTATACTTTTTCATAATGGTCACGGTCATAGACTGCAGGCTGTCGTATTCACACATCTAGTTCTGTGGTTCCATTGGTGATGTATTATTTGTTGTTGGTAGATGCTTTTTTGAAACGACTGGAGACCATTTCGATGACTGCGAGAAGTCCAAGACTCTTATGATTTAATTTGATGTATTCTACCATCATAACTTACCTGAGAATAAGGTTACAGACGATGGTTCACAATCTATTTCTCACAAGTCCCAGGAAAACTACCATCAGTACAGTCTATCGTATACATTCACCATAATATCATCCTCAATCAGTTGACTAAGCTGACGGCCTCACCCTAGTAGTTGGCAAAGCACATCAGTTGACATCAATGAGACTGTTTTCCTTTCATATATGGGAGCAATTTCAACGATTAAGCAATGGACTGACAGTTACCATGTGGTGAACTTATGGGATGTCTACAGCGGACTATGTATTACCAAGGTAATGGAGGTTTCCCAGTCTTCAAACAGAAGTATGTTTTTCTCCAGAGTTTCGCCTACCCACGTTTGTGGATAAAGTATGAGAAACAAAACCTGCATAAAAAGTTTTATTGCAATATGAAGCGGTCAGTTCACATGCTATATTGTTAGTGATACACGAACTAACCACCGCAAACACTTTCACTAGTGACAGTCACTTTTACTAAAAGTAATTAATTATTCCTTTATAATTTTTGGAACATTTTATGCACGAGGAAATAACAGCTTGGATAAACGAAGTGAATTGGTATAGAAGTTAATAGAGCCTTATATTTTGGAACAAACTGGAACAAACCTCTTTTCAATGGGATGGTTTGCAGCAAGTTTTGGTTTAAAGTGAATCTAAAAGGAGTGCCCTGGTGGAAGTTTTAAAACTAAAGTGTTTAAAAGTTAAAGTGTCTTTTGGCTAAGTTATCATGAACCTTGTTCTGGAGAATTTTGAAAGCATTCTTTGAGGGATAAAAGTTATTATCTAAGTGGAAAGCAAATTTATTTAGAAAAATGTCGCTTAGCATAACTCAAAAAGGTTACTCTCAACACTAATAAAGGCCTCAATCTAGCTCCTGGATATAGCCCAAGCAATCTTTTAGATGGCCAAGGTTACATCACTGAACTACCTCCTAAAATTTATAGCGCACACGAGCATCAACATTTTAAGTTTTTTAGTTTGTATCTTTCTTAACCACGCATCAAACATAATTATATGTCGAATTGCAATCGTGACAGTTAACAAGGCTAAATTTGGGATTGTTGAGATTGTAAAAACTGTAAGATAGCCGCTTTCAAGTTGTGGACAGGTATTGAATCTTGTCACAGAATGTTTAAATTTTCAAAAGCCAACATCCCCAGCTATTGCTTGACTGTAATTTTTATAACCTATGAAATGCCATATGAATTTAGTTGGAAACCTTAAGGAAATGAGTTAGGATAACATCACCCTCACTGCAGACGCGTTCCAAAGTAGCAGCTTTTGAATTTTTATCATGGTACAATGTACCTCATTCGGAATGTATGTGAACCATCGGTTGTTCTGAGTTGCACAGCTGATGCTGACAAAAAATTATTTTAACCAAAGAGCCGAATCGTCACTAGTTTAATAGAGTGTTCGATTTGGCTCCTGATTCAACTTCAATTTCTCAGGAGGTTTCCCAAGGCCCTTTTTATCGGAAGTTGACCTTTCCACCCTATGCATAAGTTGTAGTGAACGTCGTAATTCAATGCCTACTTCGTGTAGGAATGAATCTGCAATAATTTTTTTCAACGCTTAAGATTGTGTTCTGTGTATCTTTGCAGATGCTTGATAAACTTAAATGTAAGCAGCATATTATAATTCCTAGTGAATTCGTTTCATACGCCAAAAATAAGAAATTTACACTTCAGCTCTTCATTGTATATCTGACTTATCTCCTCTGCATGCTCATAGAAAATAAATTATCTTTCATGATGAGAAAGCTTTCACGTTCGGCATCAATTGTGATAATGTGGGCTATCCCTTTGAAATAATTTGTTGTCTTCCCATTCTCTATTTTGGGTTAACTTTATTATGTTCTTTTTACAATGAAATCCTACTTCAAAAATATGAGGATACTATGTCTGAAAATAAAAATTAAGCTTCATTCAAATCATTCACAACGTCATGCATCAATGTATTTTAATTTCACAATGTTTGGTATCGGGACTGTGCTCGCCACCATTATCAATCTTTTATTCATTTCTGCTGTTCCTCAGATCTAGTTACTTCTGACTGACAGATGTATACTTACTTAAACATGTCCTTTTGTTTATCTCAATCTCATAGGATGTGTAAATGTATGTATGGGTGAGAGATGTAAACCAATTTTGAACTCCACGCACACTTAGGTGGTTCAACATACAGCTTGCTCTTAACAGGCCTATGAACAAATTATCCATTACAGATATTTCAGACTTCAACATAAAAGAATGTCGTTCTAAGATAACCAAAAAGCTGGTTCTATAGTATCTCTTTTGGAGTATCATATATGAAGTAAGCATCCATCAAAAGTACCATTTAGGAGAATGAGTAGATTATATTTATCTCCCCATTCAGCTTTAGACAAGTGATATCACTGAGTTTTTGTATTAGTTAAGAATAATTTTAGAGGTAATATGCAATTAATTTTGTCCATTTAGACTAAAGTATGAGAAGAAAGAAGGAGTTAAACTTTGGAATACAGCTATTTAGGTGTTAAGTTTCTGGTCAGTACGGAAGCAACATTGTCAACCGTTACAAAAGAAATAGAACTCATTACTCTTAATTACTGATGACTTTTATTCTGTTAAAATCATGAAAAATGCATACCTTAAAAATAAAATAAATCGCTCAAGACATACAGTAACCATGATCTCTGATTTTAAGGTATAATGCCACTGTTTCATTAAACATTAATTAGCTTTTCAAGTTTCAGTTAGATAGCATGATCTAGTTAGTGGTAACATTTTCTAATAATTATTAGCACTTATAAGGTAATGAACTTAGTAGTGATGAATAGTGGCTGCAAGTGGAATTAAGAACATGCATTTCGTCCTATTTATGGGTCATCACCTTAGTGTACGCGGACTCAAGTAAGTGACGCTTCCACATCCACTTGGTGAGTCCCAAATAGGACGAAACTCACATCCTTGATTCCGTTATTAGCCACTATCCATTATTATTACCAAACTGAAACTACGTCTAGTATCTAGACATCCGCGAAGAAACCTATATGCCAATAGAGATTGATCGATTCAGTCCAATCACTGACGGGTGATTTCAAGTAATAACATCATAATGTACTTGATTAGAAAATTTAGTCTTTTCCAATGTATCGTAGTCTAGCCCAGAAAAAAATAAGTTGAAAATAATTCACTATTACAAATTTGGTAAAACAACAGAAGACTGGAGAATTCGATGATTTCAAATCCATATTTTGAGGAGAGCAGATTTGTTACAGTGATACTAAGTTAAAATCAAAACTAATATTTTATTTGTGACAAAATGTATAAATCTTTACATATAGATACATGAACAATGCATCCTATTTGAATATTTTTTCGTTTTTTTTAAAAATTAATAAACATTGATCATATATCAGATCAACTGACAACATGTGTTATTTTAAATCCTCCACCAGTAAAACGTGCTTGTGAATCTTTTGGCTGTTCGTGTAATATTGATTGCCTCTGCTGCTGGAGATGCCTTTGAATTTTATCTTCTTTTTGGCTATTATTACTTTCATTGGATAAATTCATCTTCTGTTGACGTCTTTTTTGTTTAAAGTAATTTCTCTTAACTTCTTGTAATTCACGATTCAGATGTTCTATTTCTGACTTATACTCAGCTATTTGACTTTCATAAACGTTCATCTCAGCGGTCATTGCCTTTTTCCACGAACATAAAATAAGAAATAAATTATATTGGATTACAGTGGAATTATGCAGTAAATGGGTTTTGTTGAGAAAGATATAAATGGTATTGTATGGGTAAGTGTTCATTTACACCTAAAAGATTATCTGTAACAATTATTTTCTCCTTATGTTTATTTTAAATGTATGCATAGAATCATTCGACAGCCGGTCCACCTACGTGTTACGGATGACATATTAATTTGTTTCTTGAGGTCAGAATTCTATCTGTTTCACATTTTTATTATCCCACAGAGCTATTTTATTTAGTAGCCTTTGATCAATGTGTTGAAGATTAAAAGATGGCATATTTTACAAAATGTCGAATAATCTGTACATATAGAATAAAGTATATCCCATCACAAATTATACAGAGTATCTTTTGAAAATATCTATTTTGTTAGGGTTTCATAAAATGGTATCAAAAAGTCATGTAATGAACCCAATGTTCGTCTCATTTCTACAAACACTAATAACAATAGTAAAGATTATACTCTTTGTAAAGTAAGAAATTATTAATTAAAGCTGGAATACGCAATTATAAATAACTGCATCTTGGGCACGTTTTATAAGAATACAGTCAGTAAGCACAGAGTTGAGACTGATTCTTCATTAAATGCGATAAGAAACGTGACAGTGTTCCATAGTACATACTGGCTACCTATATCTACTTAATAATCTTTGATTTCTTTTAAACAAGTATTTCATCACTGCTTGCTTTGTTAGAATACGATTATCAATTCACTATCTTAGAATACCTCAAGAATAAGTTTTAGTCGAGTGTAAAAAGTTTGAATGCTGACCTTTTACTTCAAATAATAATCCATGCCAATGGCTAGGCAATCACCATTTAGTAACTGGAATTACACTAAGATTATTCTCACTTGAATTATGTTACTATATTGGGTAGTTATTTCTAAGGGGTAAGTGAAGCGTAAATTAAAATTTAGGTAGTGAAATTTTAACTTACCTAAAATAATTACACAATGGATGAAAGTGAGGTACTATACACAATTTCATATTTTGGATATCTGAGTGAGAACGGTTAGTCAACAAGTTGGCTCACTCTGTTACATAGAAAAAAAGTGCTTTCTAGATTCTCTTGGCTATGTGTATACACCTGGAGTGGATCACTACCTAGAATGAGAATTATTGGTTATGCAACCAGATTGGATATGTCTTGTATCTGTCTCTGTAGATCAATCCATTAGCAAACTGAGAAATAAGTACACTTTATATGGAGCAACATGAAGTCGTATGTGACTGTATCCTTACTACGAGACTAACAACTTTTTATCAAAGTAGAAAAAGAATTGTTCAGAATATAAAGTTAATATAAAGTTAATAGGATATTGAAAGAGGTGTAAATAGGCAATAAATGAAAACGGTAGTAATTTGTTGACAAAATGTGTTGTATTCCATGACGTCTACCTCAGTTCGGTTTCGAATAACCTGATGTTCTGACAATTGAAATCTATTCAATGGTATTATCAACGAATCACCTTAAAGAACCCATTTACTAATGTAATTTCATGACTTTAATAGTCTGAAGTTAAAGGTTCTACAGTTAGTTGATTGGAGGTTTCAATTGTCGTCCAGATAAAAGATTTATTCATATTTTTTTGTTTTTGACGGACCTGTTTACTAAATGTATGTTGTTTAATTATTTTACTTTTTTTGTTGTATTTCGAGTTTATCGTATGACCAAGAAGGTAGTGTTAACGCTTCTCAATATTCAGTAAATGGATATACTCTATAAAACTTATTAGAGATAACTCACTGGTATTGGTTATACTCTGCCTTGACCCATTTACTTTTAGAACAATATCAAGAGAAGAGAAAAATAACCTAAACACTACTTGGTTGAAGACGATCGGCAAGAAGCCTTGTTATACCTAATTATCATGCTTCTTGTCACTCATCAGCAAGTCATTCATCCAGCCTTGATGAAAATCAAGTCTCCTCTGAGATTTCAACCCATATCACCCATTGTTTTAGTCAGAGAATGTAACACTCAACTGATTGGACCATAACTGACTTCTTGTAGGACTGGATTATATACAGTGATCGGTCACTGGAGAACACCCAATTTCATGTTTTCTAGTTCTGAGTGCTGAATGGATTTTGTCAACCATTTTAAAATGTGGTGACCAAGCTAGGAGGCTTTCTGCCACGATGCATTTTGATGGTTGTTAGATGGTCGAAGGTAATTAGCAGAAAGTCCTATTGGGCCTAGGTTTCTTACCTTTTAGCACTCGTCAGCGAAGCCTATCTTCTACCTTGAGGGAACTGATTTCCCGTATGAGATTAACTGTCTTAAACAGAGGTTTTGTTATGAAGTCGATAGATCACTGAAAAAGCTAATAAATGCTGACAGCAAACTAGAAGTTTAATATTATGCACTACTTACTTTCATTTGTTTAGTTTTATCTTTTATAATACTTTGATAAACGTTGAGTTGTTCTGCAACCTCTGGACCTGGCTGACGTGCCAATATATGTTTCAATTCGATGTAAATTTTCTCCTTCTCTTGAATCAACAATTCTTTTTCAACTACTTCTTCTGTCTTACTAATAAGACGTTTTTGTAAGGCCTGAATTTTCTGTATCATTTCATATGTAGAAGGATCACTGCCCTAAATAGGTTAAAAGAGAGGACATAGTCAGTGAATTTATTTATAAACATTTCTGTATACGATAAAGAAGTGATGAGAGACAATCAGCAGTTTAAAAGTGTTACACAGTTTTATATACAGTCAAAAAATCTGGGTTTTGTAGTATACCTACATCTATGAACAACTATTTCTGGACAATATATTGTATAAGGGAATTTTTGTGAAAAAGTGTTTAGCTGCACATCATACTCAAACGATGATTGGAAAAAGCTTTGCTGATAATTTCAATAGGAGTCCATTGATACAAAATAATTGTGCGCAACGCTTCACCTTTAAATACTGGTTATTTGCTCATCTCACAAGTGTCATTATCGATATTTATTCCTTTTAAAACTTCCCAATGTTTTGCAGCAATATACCTTATAGTAATTGTTTTCCATTTTATCAATATTAACTTTGTCCTTTTCTTAGGAAATTTTATGTATGCATAACAATTGTAAAGCAATTTTAAAATTTATGAATGACTTGGTGAATAATTTAATACAATATTTGTCTTTTCTACTAGATCAAGGGTACAACAAGCTGAATCTAAAATCGTGCATTTTCTTTCAGTATATGACATTCCTAAAGAGATTCAGTATCATCTTATGATTTCATAAATCATACTTATTCCAAGTGAATCGATATACTGTGGAATATTTTTACGATAATCCCTGGTAAACAGTTTTCAACACAACCTACAACCTCAAAACAAAAATAATAGATTTTTTCCAACAATAAAACCAGAACAGTTTGAGAAATAACTAAAACCAACTTCACATTACTTGTGGAAGGAATTCAAATTCTCTCCATGTATCAAAGTAGTATATCTAAATTAAAAAAACAATCTCAGTAACTTCAATAATCCATTACTTGAGTTCAATCAAAAAAACTTAAATAAAGTTACAAAGATAATGGTTAAACTTATATAATTCGGCTTTTGCCGGCATTTATTTATATTTTTGGTGAACTTTCAGGTTTAGTCATCAGTTAATTCTAATGAAGCTTCTTCAGTAATTAGTTAGGTTCTTGATATGTCATTCAACCGAGGAGTAAAACAATATCATATTTTAAGGTTCCTCAAAGATATGTAGTATTGTCAATCACTCAGGTGAGAAATATAGTGAACTATTTAATATCAATTGAATGGAATCACTGAAATTAAAATTGGACTGAAAAAGAATAGTTAGTGGACAGAAAAAATTAAGCAAAAGCGATGATTCTATCTAGAAGTTTGTGGAGGTTTATTAATTAATTTTGGGTTTGAAATCATCACGGACTGATATCAGTTAGAGGAGAATTGGAAACCTGGGAGCATTGGACAGCTGTTTCGTCCTAGCATGGGACTCCTTAGCAGTGCGCACCCATGACTTCTCTAGAAGTCGGACCCATGACCTCCAGGTTCCGCGGCCAGTAGGTTACCACTGAGCCATTGGGTTGGAATCCAGTCGCCTACATTTCCTAATTCTGTCAGTTCATGGTATAGCGCGACCTACATCCAATGTCGTATTTGAATAACTGTCCTTATGTTCGACTTGGTTGACTCCATTGGTCAGAACTTCTCATTGGAACTTTGGGAATCACTTCTCTCAGTGATGAAGTACTGGCCACGGGACTTGAAGGTCCTGGGTTCAACCCATGGGGAGGTCATCTTTTCGTACTGAGGAGTTCCATACTAGGACGAAATAGCTGTCAAGTGCTCCAAGGTTTCCAATTCTCCTCTAACTGGTGTCAGTCCGTGATGAATTACAACCTAATAGCGATAGTTGATTTAGTATGTAACTATTAGTTAACCATTTGTAAATACACAGACCAGCAACAGACCTTTCACAGGAGCGTAACGATTAATGTTGTCATACTTCCGAACAACACAAAATAATGCAGTGAACAGGAATGAAAGAATGTATGAATAAGTATAAAGAACTCAGAAATACATAGAGATACGACATACATTCAATATTTTGAAGATATTAGCGAGAGCGCATACATCTTTGTCACTGGTCCCCAGCATTTAAATCCATCGACTGAGAGGTCTCATGACTTTATCTCTCTCTGAAAGGACTGTCTGGCAAGTAAAAACATCACTCTACTGAAGACCGTTTACTTGAACATCCGTGGGCGTATTAAAGCCTGTGGTGAGTTATCAAGTGAGTTATGTACCTAAAATGGTATCCAACAAGTATATACGTTCCCAACATTCTTGTTTAATTTTATCTTAAATATACTTATAGATGTCTTCCTATCGTCACCTGACTGTACAGGTATTTATTTTGTCAAAAAAAACTCTTCAGAAGATCCGGAGTAAGCAGATGGTATAGTTATGTTAGGTGGAGTAGCTGTCAATATGTAAAGTTTTCAGGACACTGAGCGGCAGTTTGAAAATGTCTGGGATGCATTTCTGGCAACTGAAGTGAAAATCGTTACTTCAGGACTAGTCTTCAGTGGTGACTTGTCTAATAGTCTGGAGTGAAACGGATGAGTGCGCTGACCACTTCACTCACCAGAGAAGTCGAACCAGTCGTGGTGGGTCAGTGGCCGACAAAATCTCTGCATGGATGCAGAAGACTCATTTGGCTTTCACCAACTAATGTCATTTCTTGTGCCACTGTGATATTCGATTTTATGTTTAAGGTCAAGTGTACGGCGCTGCAATTCGCTCTTTTTTAGTGTATGGCTGTGAAACATGGCCATCCAAGGTAGAGGACATTAAAAACTTCTAGTTTCTAACCACAGTTACTTGCGTAGAGCAGATCATGTGTTGTGGTGCCACTATGTCAATAGCACAGAAGTCAGGTATAGAATTTTAGGGAGGAAAGGAAAGTTAGTTAATGTGGTTGTGAGCCCTTATCGACTAAGATGGCTAGGACATGTGCTAAGCATACCTAGTCATCGTCTGCCTTATCAAGCAATGTTAACTGAAGTAGGTTTACGCTGGGAAAATGTTTGGGGTTTCAGACTATGTGTATGAAGTCCTTCAAGCATGTAGGGAGATGCAGACTAGCCGGTCGGGATTCACATAACAACAAAACCAATGGTTGTAGACTCTGGGTGATATGGCTCATAATCAATTTCAGAGTCACTGATGTATCCAAACATTATCTTCATTTTAACCATCATATTGAATCCCAGTATCCTCTCATTGCATCTGGCTCTCTGTTCATGGATTTCTATTACTTTTAGTTTTTTTTCTTTGCTTCTTTATCTTTCATCTTAGTACATTCCCGCTTGATGTGCTGATATGTGGTTAGACAACTTGAACCATTGCGCGGCAATGCCAGGTTCTATGTCGTTGTTTGTCTACCTCTGACTGGTTTTGGGCTATATCACTGGGTTTCTTCAGCTGTTGATTTCTGGATTCTCATTAAATCCAGTAATACAGACTATGCTTCGATACAGTACTGAAACCAACATTTAACAATTTCACGCTATGATGGTGTGTTTTTTAATTCTAATCTCTATTTAACCCCTCACAACAATAGTCGACCATCATTACTAGAAACACCAATCAATCATTTCTAGAAATCTTTCAAGAGTTCAGTCACACTAGCAACAATAAGACATCACAACCTTAACGTTTAAAATCCTATCAGAAATGCTGTACTTATACAATCAGTAAGTGGTTTGTATTCAGGAGATTGAGAAAATGGTAAATCTTGTCGGCTATGATGTTTAAGATGTCGTATTTATTGAAATCACTTGAAGGTTTTTAAGTGCTATGTAAAAAAACATTAACCGCTAAGAATGTCTTCAAACATCGTGTCTACAAACAGCCAGTTTACAGCTTATTTTTCATTCGAAGTTCACAAGAATCATCCAGGTCATTTAGTTGTGCATAACATACATAGAACAAGCGTACAACAAGTTAAGAAGCTACTGTTAACTTTTTTTAAATAGAATAGACAGGAAATCAATGTTGAGAAAAATAAATACACTTATTAGAAACCTAACTATTATTTTCACAGTAATTACGAAATTCAAGGCAAGTAAAATATATAAAATGATAATTACTAAGGCTTAAATCTGTGGAGGCTGCATAAAGTTATTTATGAACCATATAAATTAAAAATAATGTCCCCTTTTGATTACTTTTCACATATTTTATACATTCTTCTTAATGCTTGGAAAAACAAATGTTTCTTATCTGTACAACTTAAAAATTGGAATTTTGGTTGTGGTGGTATCACTTTGCTTCTACTTTTAAAACCTGAAAATACAGTATGCTTCTATCCACTATGACTTCTGCCTCCGTTAACCACTGTCTGATGTAGGTGCTTATTGATTGTCTTTGGATTTTACAGGACTTTTCATCCTACTTGCAAATATCACAACAATCAAGTCAACTAATGTCAACTATGGAGGGTAAACAAGTATCACCTGCTGAGTTAACATTGGAGTATACCAAAATTGTGGTGGACAGTATCAAAGAGATAACACTCAAGTAACTAATTATTATCCAGTAACACCAACATTACTCATTTGTATAATAATGCATCGAGAGGTAATTTGGAAACTGCTTCAATACTACGGAGTACCGCAAACCTTTATCCGCCTCATTCAACAACTATATGAAGATGCCACATGCCAAGTAATTCACAATGGGAAGCTCAGTGATGCTTTTGAAGTGAAGACAGGAGTGAAACAAGGTTGCCTACTATCCCCCATGATATTCCTGATTGTGGTCGACTGGATCATGCAGCAAACATTAGGCAGCGAGAAGAGGGGGATACACTGGACGGCGGAAAAGAACCCAGAAGACTTGGATTTCACCGATGACTTGTGCCTAATGTCACACAAACTTGAAGATCTACAGGCAAAAACTAACAAGTTGATAGAAGGGGCAGGGCAGCGAAGACGGGACTTCAAGTGAATATAGAGAAGACAGAGGTGTTGAAGATACCCAAGCAACAACGCCAACAACAACAAATTCCAATCACCATCAAAGGGAGAAACTTAAATGAAGTAACCTCCTTCACCTATCCAGGCAGCACCGCTTTAACTACAGGTGGCGGCACAGACGAGGATGTCAAAGTCAGGATCGGAAAAGCAAGACAGGCATTCATTATCCTGAAAACAGTGTGGAGATCTTCTGCACTGCGCTCGGCATGTGGAACAAGATACGGATTTTCAACACCAACGTCAAGTCGGTGCTTCTGTATGGTTGAGAGACTTGGCGCGTTACGAAAGGGATTTCCAACAAACTGTAGACATTCACCAACGACTGCCTATGCCCGCCAATGAAGATCAGATGGTCAGAAAGAATAAGCAGCAAGGAGCTCTGGGAGCGAACCAACCAAGAACCTATCACCCAACAAATATGCACTGGAAGGAAGTGGAGATGGATTGGGCATACACTGAGAAGGCCGACTGGGGACATCACGCATCAGGCCAGGCCCTCGAGTGGAATTCCCATGGGAAGCGACGAGTTGTGCGTCTGACCGAGGGTGACATGGAGGAGATCTTATGAGGAAGAAATGAGAGCTTGTGGGCTGTCGTGGAACCAGGTTGAAAAGATTGTAGAGAAGAGAGTGGAATAGAGACCTGCTACTGAAGCCCTATGTTCCATTAGGAACCCAAAGGACTAATAACAGTAATAATAATAATAACGATAATGCATAACTTTCTGTATTTGTGTACAATTGTGTTTATTTAACTATTATTATTATTATTAGTCCCTTGGGTTCCTACTGGAACATAGGGCTTCAGTAGCACGTCTCCATTTCATCCTGTTCTCTGAGATCTTTTGAACCTGGTTCCACGACAGCCCACAAGCTCTCATTTCCTCCTCGCACGACCTTCTCCATGTCACCCTCGGACGTCCAACTCGTCGCTTC